GTTTCTGTCTGACTTTTCGTATTCAGCATTTAAATAAAACTACGATTTCAACGAAAAAAAAATTCTTTTTCAGTGATTTTATTTCCATAGCTGTACAATATGTATGTACAATATATATGTACCTATAAATTACAACAGACAATGACAAGTGGGTCTGTTGTGTGTTTAGACAAAGCAATAAGACGTAACTTGTTTGAATCAGGTAATGTATTTCCGCAACAAATTTCGAACAATCTGATCACACACGAACTTGTCAGAACACTATGACCCACTCTCCAACTCACTGCTAAGAAAAAAAACATATACATCAAGATATGCTATATGGGTGATCATAGCAGCTTGGTAATTCAACAGAGACTAGAGGCTGCGGTTAAAATGACTTTTTATGCAGCTAAGATCATAATAATTGAGAATGTGAAACCGATATATTCATTTCAGCCCTTAGAATATGCGAAAATTTATGTCACATCCCACTGTATTTACCAATTTGAATGTATGTGTGGACACATACATAATGAGGACTTATCGATCTCTGCAAGTAAGGGCTGGCTTCAGAGCATATTCCTAAATGGCTTCGGAAGCAAACAGAATCCCTAGAACCCATTAATGGTGAGAACAGGAGACTTAGCTCCTCTATTGCGAAACATATTATAGAGACAGGACATGAAATTGATGTTTCCACGTCTTTCAAATCTATCTATAGAAGGTCTTTAGGGAAGGGCGTATCCTAAAGTTTATGGAAGCCCTAGCTGGCAATTAGGAAATTTAAACCACTTTTATGCTTTCAAAAACAATTCGTCATCACAGTAAATCTTCCTTGATAAACTTTGTTTTGATACCAGAGTAGATGTACTATTACCTCTCTTATTTGGTTTAGTGATCACTGAAAACCAGGAAACACTGGACGCTGGAAATATCCCACAGAGTTTAAGAGAAGTAAGTTAAAGAAAAGAATCAATAATGCGAACGAACTTACATTTGAACCTGTAAATGCAGCCTGTATTAGATGGCTTAGTACTTCAGTATTGACGAGTAAACCTGGACCAACAGATGGACTACCAGACATTAAAGCAGTCAATTGAGCAGCAAAAAGCCAGACTCTGAAGTTATCTGGATCAATAGCTTTGGCTTGTGCTACCAAGTTGACAGCAAGCTTATGTTAAATATGCATAGAAAAACCGAGAGAGAAAACAACAATTAGATATTTTCATCCATCACATGCATTTCAATGATGGTGGCTAATGATTTATTGCTAAACAAGAGCATTTTTATACCAATTGAAAAGACAAATTTAGAGAAACAGTCATCATGAAATCTACACAAACATCTTTGTTATTAACTTAAAAATTTCCATTAAGTCATATAAAAGAAAATGCGATCAACGAAAAGTTACTCTTTTCGGCGACATCCTTCTCAAGCTGTACAATCGCATATATATATAGTTAATTTTCAGATTAAGAGACAGGCACGACTAGTATTCAACCAATGGACTAGAATCCAATCATTCATGAATTCTAACTTCTTTTAGAAGTTAGTCAAAGAATTAAAATCACTGAACCCATTCGATTTTACGGAGTTTATTGTTAATGGTTATTTCAAAGGCTAATTTGAATTTCCCGTTGATTTATATAAGACTGAAATACCCAGTTTTTGCTGACATCTCGGCTCCCAATGCAGACGATGTCTGATAGTTAACATAATATCATTTGGTTGATAGTGGCTGGCAGTGGAATCTAGAGTGCACATTTCGCATTAGAGGTAGGCTTAGTGACCGAGTGGATATTGCTTTGGAGTCTGAAACGATGTGTGCAGAGTTCCAGTCTTAATGGGAACACCATCACTCACAGGAGAAGTAGGTACATTCATCAAATGACAAGTCCCAAATAGGAAGAAATACGCACCTTAGCTTCTACTGGCGGTCACCATCAACCAAATGACTTCATTATTATTACTTAATCACTTAATAAATTAAAGCAATAAATAAATGCATTACTTCAGTTTGACCTTGTTTCATTTGATGCATAGCCAAATTAATCATAACAGTAGTATTCTAAAATATGAAATAGAAAAGATTACAAAATTAATTTTTTTTTACCACGTTAACAAACTACTGCATATTGTCAAATAATGTGCTACTTATGCTGGCATAAATCTCATCGCTTTTTTTTCAACCTAAATGAAAGTGCTAGGAGTGGTAATGGCTTTTCACTAGACAGACAATTCCATCTCTTAATTTTCAGTCGTGTAGATTAAATGAACTATCTCCATGTAGGTGTGATATAGTATTACAGCTTAGAAAACCTGACCAATACACTCAATGTAGAGTAAGAAGGAAAACGCATGGCGGAACAAATTTTATTCATTTAAATATAAATTCAGTCAAGAAACGATATCAGTCAGAGAACCAGTGGAAAGTAAAAATAGCATGGGATGAAGTACTCTGGTACACTATTTATGGTGCAATATGATGATTTTTCCATTCATTGGCTATTTATTCCACAGAATCAATATAAGAACAGTGAAACTGGAGGAGTAAACAATCTGAACAAAAACGAGTTAGGTAACTGATATAGCTAAACACAGAAGTGTACGGTATTTCTCTTTCACATGAAAAAAGTTATTTAGGTCAGAATATATAATTTGTATTTTAATTCGACACTAACTAGTAACTAGTGTAAGGTGTCTAGTCCCATGTTTTTGCAGAATGAATTACACCAGTCAAGGTTTGTTATGTGGCCATCATTCCAAGTGACTCACCATCACGACGCCCATTGATTTGATGATATAAGATGGTTGGAGACAGTTAGCAAGAAGCCTTGGACCTAGGTTTCGCGTTAGTTAGCACTCAACAGTAAGGCGCATCTGCTACTTTGAAGGAACTCATGTCGCTTCTAAGAATCGAACTCGCGTCAACCAGTGCTGCAGTCAGAGACATTACCACTGAGATGTTTAGTTTACGATTGACCTCCTGTAGGATTATACGGGATGCTTTGGTTGGACACTAGTTAACTAGTGTAATATGCCTAGTCCTTTCTTTGGCAATCATCTGGAAGTTTCGGGTGTAGGTCTCGTGCTAGCTGGTACACGTCAGTGACTAGTGCGAAAGCTAGGTCCAGTGATTTCTGCTGATTACCTCCAACTATCTAATATTATTTGTATGTTGTCTACTGTATACACATGCGAAACATAATTTCGTGTCCTGGACTGATGGTAGAAACAAATCGTAAATAAAATAATCAGCGATCATTTAAAAAACAATAACACTGTGTATGGAGGAATTTTTATTTCAAAACCACTGGAGTTCAAGTACATTGATCTAACAAATGATAACTAGAGTAAAGGCGCACAGTATAAACTAGCACTAGTTTTTATCAAAATACTCATAATAATGTATGCATGAATTTTTAATTTGGATATAAATCCCTGGCATGTCAATATTATAAGATTCACAATCTTAATAATCAGTTTGCATATCAGCGCTCTGAATACTACTCCTTGTATTCGAAGGAGAAAACACAATGTTGAGTCAGAAACCGACATATGGTTTCATGATTTAAATGCTGACTCAGACATGGGGTTAGAGCAATGACAAAAGTGTATGCAGCTGTAGTAAATCAACTCAGACATTCTAATTTTAATCATCGGATTAAACTTGTGCATTTTACTACAATTCGGGCAATTAAAAGATTATTCTGCTAGTGACTTAGAGCAGAAAAATGAATACGTAGTTGAATAGAATAAATTTAACTATACTGTGCTAACATGCCAAGCAAAATTACAGCATAGGTGTAATGTTAGTGATTAAAGGTGAAAATATGCATCGCGACGGGACTCGAAGTGATTAAACTAAATAGTGTACGGATTACGATGAGAAATGAATAGTAATAATACTACAAAAAAAGATAACATCATACATACATCTGGATTAAAAAGTAATGCTTGACAGAGACAATAGGTGATTTCCGAATTCAAGTTATCTGAAAGTAATATGCAAAAACAAAAGTAAACATTAAACATGAATAGTGTATAAAGTATACTGAATTTCTATAGAGAAGGCATTCATATGGATGACATATGTTATACATTATCACACTTTAAATGTTAATTAAGATTAAAGTGTTATATACACACACTTTTGTTTTAGGAAAGTTCGACAAGTAGTATGTTTCTGATCATTTCTGATGTCACTTGAAATAGATGAACGTTGCATTAAAAGCAAATGTCGTGTAATTCCTGTTTATTATTAAATGAAACATTCATCATATATTCATTCCATTAATGGGATTAGAGAACGAGTAAAGATTAGTAGAACTTAAACATTATTTTGATGATTTCATTATTTATCTGAAATCAGATTTCTTTTAAGTTAATATGATTTATTTTATAACCTACTAGTTTCAATCTCAATCCAATCACATCCTTATTAAGAGGAAGAATAAACAATGCAAAAAATCCACAATTTCTTCGGTAAAACACTAACTATTTGTAATTACTTGTATAGAAGCATAATAAGTAATAAAAAAATTAGTCATATGCAACTGGTTAATGAGTTGCAAGTTCATACAAGAAAAAATTTAGCAAATTTAGCAGAATATGCCTTAAAACTACCTTCACTAGTTGAATAAACTCCAGCCAATGCAGACCATGCACGTGAACGAATTCTTCTAATTAAGGCTAATCGATCTCGAGTATCGCGTTCATCGACTTCGTCATCTGGTGTTGTAACACCCGGACCAAGTAGACTCTTATCTTTTAATATTTCATTTAAAAATTCTTCGTATATATATGATACATTATCTAATAATTGTAAAGCTTGTTTTAATATTGACTCAGATAAACAAAATAATTCATAAGAACTGAATCCATTATATTTTATTTGGTGATTAGATGAACTTGATAAAGAGGATAATGTTGGAGATTGTTTTTTATTACTATCCATATGACGTTGTATATAATAACCTTGATTTAGTTGATGTATACCAAAACTGACTAATAATGAACTGATAATTAATAATTTTGATGGATGATTCTCTGCATCACTTCCAGATGCTACAACATTAGTAGGAGAAGTAAGAGAAGCATTGAGTTGTAACGACACTGTTGGATATCTAACTGAACTCAAACGTATCCGAATAGCACAGGCTAAATAACTGGGGAAAAATGTAAAGCGAAACAACTCTAGATTACAAAGACTGTAATATATATATATATATATATATATATATATATATATATATTAGAAAGATGTAATAAAGGAAATTATGCATTTTAATATACAAACAATTACTAAGTGTATGCATAATCTCCAGAAAACCCAATATCACTTAGAAGTGCAACAAAAGCGGAAACTGAATTTTACCTACCCAAGACAATACAAATGCCTAGTCGACCTAACGATAAGAAATCTAAATGACAAAATACAATAAGATCCCTCTGGACTTAGTAACTTTAGCAACCATACTTAGAGAACTGATGATGCTCCTTCAACGTGCTAATCTCCACACTGCAATATTATCCGACTTATTCCCAATAATGAAAGCAATAAGCTATCACCGCCCTAATTTTTAATAAAGTCACCGTTTGGAAGCTACATGAATCAAGTGAGCACACATTGTACTTTACTGTAATCGCTAAATAAGCTTTAAAAGTCACATTATCAAAATGAATGGGAAGCCCCATGAATGCAGCTGACTTGGCTAATGAAATAATATGTTAACAGATGATTTCAAGTATAAGTGAGTAAGAACTTAGCGTTTTACCAACCCAGTTTATAACTTCATATTTAGTTAGATAATGAAATTGTATTAAACCATAACGTTTACAAAAAGGCTTGACAAAATTACTTGCTTTGATAAAATGTTGGCAAAATGGTGGGTAACAAAACTGCACACAAAGCGTAAGTCAAGCATAAGACGAGTGACGATGGCTTTCTACCCCGCTGTTCGACTGTATATACACACATCAGAAGCTAGGCTATCCAAAATCTAGTCTAATTACAATCCGATATTTTTCCGAAGGCTTTAGTAATGTGCCTAAACTATCAATCAAGTCAAAAAAGCTAAATGATTGTCTCCACAACATTCCACTAAGAAGTTAGTATTTAGGTAAAAAAACGTGAAAACCAAACTGTATTAAATTTTAACTAGATTAAAGCGCTTCAGAAAGAACATTCATAATAATTGTTGAATTCTTTCTACTGTAAGCGTTAACTATTGTCCGAAACACTTTAATTTATTTACCAGTATAGAGAACTTTTAAATTGTTATCGTAATTTCGTTTGATGAAATTGATATTAAAATGAAAAGAAATGGCAAAACGATGGTTACAGTAGCTCCAAGTAACATTTCAAATCTTACAGACAAATAAACAGTTACACAGACGGGCAATTTGGTAAAAATAGGTGAATCAGAATGAATTGCGAAGCTATAATGATAGGGAATCATTACAACTGAGTGTATTTGTCTTCTAATGTAACATTTGGGGTTTTAATCACGAATTCCATAGAATCTCTAGAATCCCTCTCAGTCAAGTGACCTGCATCTGTAACCAAGATCAATAGCTGATAACGTTACTGACTGTTGGAACGTTTTGGACCAGTTATCTTTAGTACTCTAAAATCAAAAAAGAACACTATTCTTTTACAAACTTATTAAAATCGATTTCTTTTCCTGAATCCAGATATAATCAATTCAAAGTCCTCCACGATGGCAAGGCATCTAGTTTGATGATTACGTTGTAAGTTTGACTAAAGTCTAGACACATGTTATTGGTTATACTATACTGATCAATTTATTGTATAATCCTAGATACTGCAACAAATGAATTGACACGTACATGACTACTGCTAGGAGAAAAATTATTAAGTGTGACATTTATCATCCCAAAATATAAAAAAGAAAACATTACACGCACATATTGGCAAGTTGAAGACAATTTACAATATTTAGTTTGATCGTATCATCCATCAGTTTCGAATCGACACAGATTTCCTCAGCATTGTTCATTAAAGAAATAATACGTGATGGTATTACAATTCTGTAGAGAAAATAAGGTGAAATAAAGAAAGGTATAGCCAATACAGAGTGTATAGTAAAACATAAAAACTATGGAGGATAACAAAACAAATTGATACTATTCAAGTGGAAAAAACAAAGAACAAAACAGAAAACCAAAATCGAACGGAAAAGCACTAACTGTCGCTAGTTTGTTGAAGTAAATACTTGACAGAAATAAAAATAATTCATGTTACACTGGACTGAAAAATGACATTCTTCGCTACATATATCCCAATTATTATTGTTATCATTATTACTATTAAATCTACCCAAATCTTAGATGAAAACTGAATTTACGAAAATAACCGGCCTTTATTTCAATATAAAACTGTCAAGTCGATATGCACACACTTTTAACTGGCCTATTTGTGATCTGAATACTAGGATGACCAAAGATTTTGAGATAGATGTAAACGAATCAGCCGCAGAGATACAGATATACAGTTCGAAAACCCATATGATCAGATAAGGGATATAGTTCCATCGTCCAGCCTGGATTCAGAGTACCTTAAACCAAGTTTAGCAGACTGCTGTAATCAATATAAAAGACCCCCAGTACAACTGTAAAAGGACTCTGGCAAAGGAACGGAGAGAAGAACTACAAAAATTGATAAATGACAAGAGGATTAGAAGCGGTCCTCCTTGACAGAAGTCACTGCACCAAAAAGACGAATGATATGTTGAAAAACAAACTGAAGTTTCAAAACTGGAGGAAAACAAGGTCATTAATAATGAAATAACCAGATATTTAAAGAAACTAAAGGAGAAACACATACTTTCCGCAGGTTTATATGATGAAATCAGACACACGGGTACATACACATCAAGCTTATCAGTATTACCCAAACTACATAAACTTGCAGTGCCATTAAGACCGATTCTAGATATGCTTGGTTTACACTACCATGCTTTAGCTAAATGGTTGGGAAATATTCTACAACCCTTACATGAACAGCTGGTGAAATACAGTGTGCAAGATATGTCTGAATTGACAGACGGCACCAAAGATATTAACTTGATGAATTTAGACAAAGATAAGACTATGATATCTTTGAACGCAACTCCTCTACTTGTAAATGTACCTCTAGTTGAAACGGTTAGTTATGAAATGAATAAAAATTCAATAAATAATTGGACCCTCAGTAGAATTCCTTAAAGAATTGTTACCAAAGTGTAACATGAATGTGACTTTTAAATTTCATGGTAAACTCTATAAACAAATGGATGGGGTGGTAACGGGCTCTCCATTGGGTTTCATGTTAGCAGATTTCATTCCAACTAGGAAATGGTCTTTTAAACAACCCTTGTCAGGAAATTCTGATTTTATTGCTGGTATACGGGCGATACCTTCATCTTTTGTGAGAATGATTTGAACGAGAATTCATAATATCTCAATTCAATGAAGAACATTCAGCTATCAGATTCACGTGTGAAGAATCCCAAAGTTAACTTGCTTCTTAAGACAGCCTACTGAGAAGACCAGACGGTAACATAAAAAAGAAGTTGCATAAAATAAGTACTTAGACCGGTCTATGTACACATTCTCTACAGCTTTATTCCTCTCTTGTATACAAGAAATCAGGTAGAGCATTCAGCTATAAGGTCAGAAGTATTTGTTCAGAATGTGATTGGAGACGAACTTAAGGTTGCATACGAAACGTTAAATTAAAGCAGCTACCCTGAAAATTTCATCACTAAACACATGACCAGGAGAGAAAAAAAATCTGTATATTTTGAGAATAACCTTCTGTATTTTTTTTCCTTCACGTTCCCCAGTGGAACATAGGGCTTCAAGCTAGTGGCTTGAAGTTTCTGTAGCAGTGTTTATTTTACAGGATGGGGTTGCTAGCCTCATGCCCAACCTTTCCTCTTCACCAGCATTATATCTGGCTTAGTGAGGTAAGGGAGGAGTGCGTCGGCCGGGGATCGAACCCCCGACCATGTGCATGGTCGGCGAGCGTCCTAACCGCTATGCCACCGACGCAAGCTTCTGTATATACGACTGTAATTCAAAGGTGATGTACCAAGTGAAATAATAGCCAGCAAGTTGAGAAAATCGATTCAAAGAACGTTTAATGCCAGTAAGCTGCAGCTTGCGATTTCCACACAAGCGGTTGTGATTCCGAAACTGAAAGGCGAAGTACCTAAGGCAGCCACCTCTAATTGTATCTATCAGATCAACTACTCCTGTGTAGCCGGTTATATTGTCCATCACTCTCGAAACTTAATTTTTCGTGCTCGGGAACACCAACTGTAACGAGAGAAGGCAAAAGACTTGGTAATGGACTTTTTTATCGAGGAGAAACACACCATATTTATACATTTTTAGCCACATTTATGTTCGGCTAGACCAGAGGATAATAATAAACTGTTCTGATAGACTGTTGATTTGCTGAAGGTTAAACCTTGAGATTATTTCCTGACCATAACATAAGCTAGATCCAGATTCAAGAAGTAAACGCTTCTACTTCTGTAGCCACTGAATTAAAGTGTTGTTTTCAATTTTGGCTACTTCCCATAGATTGGTGTCTACACACTGCTGATGAATCTTCTCATTAGCACACCCCACAGTACCAGTATGGCTAAATAAAAGTGTTGTTAAAACCATCAGCGCTGAAGGGTTTTTCTCTATCATCTATCGGATTTCGAATAAATTACCAAAAGCCTCTAGATACTGAACACTTCAAAAAGCAGAGACCATTACAATTCTCTTGAAACAAAGGGATCTTTGTGCAAAAAAACAGGTCTAGCCACTATTGCAACGCTGGTCAGCTGTTGAACCTTTGAATTCATAAATTTCGGTGTTACTTCCCTTAATTCATCTGATATTAATGCATATTGTCATGCTTTTGAAATGGTATCTATTGACACTATTGATTCAGTGTAATTCAAAAACCTTGTTGTTTAAAACAAAATTTTCTTCAATATGGTCATATAAATGTAGAACTTGATGATGAATTTAACGGAGAGACTATTCTCTTACTATCAATCAGTCTTTTAAATAAAGAAGTTCCAAAATCCTTAGACAGCATTATACCTATTTTGCTTTATACACTAATTTCATACTGACTGAATTACACTACAATCGAGTACCAAAATTACAAGTATACTATAGTATTCTGTAACTCTGGTTAAATGACTGACACACAACTGATCGATAGATCTCAAGTGATACATAGGCCTAACATTGTGAAAAAGGGTTAACAATAACAAAAAAACCTCGTCTGCATCCATCTGTCTGGTAATTCTAAAAAAACAGGAAACCAAGTGCCTTTACATTAAAAAAGAAATATGCAAAATCAAAACTTACAAAAGATTAGGATCGTCGACAACTGAAAGCAAACTTAGAACATCTCCAATGTATCGAAAAATCCAAAAGGGTACAACTTTTGAACCAACAAAATAATCCAGTAGTCTAATAAGAAAAAAAGCAGAAATGTACTTTATACAGTAGTATTTACCCAAAAATTCGTGTTATGCAAAAATATCCATCCATCAATAATACTTCATTTCATTTTTATGTAGGTATTGCTATTTTTGAATGAAAATAACGCCAAAATAGGTCATATAAGTAGTACATAAGGCAGTGATATTTAAAATAATTAGTTCCCTTTATGAATTTAGACAAACACAAGAATATATATATATATATGCGTCAGTGGTACAGCGGTTAGGACTCTCTCCAACCCATGCACATGGTCCGGGGTTCGACCCCCTGCCGACCCACACCTGATATCAATAGTCGGTCTGCAAAATTTGGGCTACCGATATCACATGCTGAAAATTCCATACTTGTACCAAAAATACTGTGTGGTTTCAAGTTACAATCAAAAAATAGATAAATAATAAATATATATACCTATGACAAGTCTGTATGTGATCAGATTGTTTCAATTGTGTTGAGCAACCACATTACATGATCCAGACAAATTACGTCTTTTTATTGCTTTGTCTGAATTTAAATGATAGTCTGCAGTTTAAGCTAGAGAATTGAAACAACAACTAAACTAATTTAGGGTCAACTTTTTTTACCTGCTCAAGCAACATTCAGTGCTACCAGGTTGAATATGATTAACTAGACACTATCATAGTCAACCGCAAACATACTGTATGAGTAAGAATGTCGCTACAAGATCTAATAGCACACCGAAATAATGCATTTCATCATATTAATAAACATTTTAAATATTTAGTATAGTTCAGTAAAATAAACGTCAGTACTTGATTTTATGCAAGCCAACAACAAATACATTGTGATTTACTATGGAACTATGAAAAAAGTGATATCTCACTCGATAAGAAAGATTAGTAAGGCATAGATTTTCGCCAATTACTTGTACTAAACATTATAAGCATATTGTCGAAATCATAAGATAAACGAAGAGCAACAAAACGGTAAGCAAAGAATCTAGAATTATTACGTTTCCTGAGTCTATAAGTTACTAGAAATCAAATTTATTGATGTTTTAAAATGTGACGACTGATGACACCACCCAGTTACTCCGGACCAAGCAGTTGTAGTGGGATGCTAAGCCTTGACCTGTTGAGTGGAAGTTCAGAACTTGGAAAAATCAACATCCTCTTAGATCTTGGAATCTGACCTTTTTGTTAAAAACTATTTTGCATAAAACTGCTTCCAATGACTAGTATTTTGCAAGGAACCATTTGTTTTGCCGAATGAAAACACCGGCAAGAGTTAAATATAAAAGAAAGATTATTAGAATCCTAAACTGTTAACAGTTGTGTGAATCTCTATATGCAAAACATAAGACTTCTCATAATTCAATAGTATAATTTTATCACAAAGAACTTAAACTTAAGTATGAACTTTAAGCGAGATTAGAAGTTTCCTTTAAATGATTTTGACAGTTTTTCAGTCATTCATGTTTTAGTACCAATAAACTTTTGGCATGAATAGCTGTCAATTTTAAAATATGCTTCAAACTAATGTGAATTTTCAAACAAAAAGCCAATTTTCTGATGCATTTTATAAAAGCAGTTATACCAGAGTTTTACAGAACTTTATAGGCTGTTCCAAATGTGAAAAATGAACACAGATGTGCTCGTATGAATGGTTTCGTTTAGTTATTTGACCCGAATCGAATTAACTACATGACTTGAACATATACAAAAAGATTTATTTGCATGTTGACTTTTAGATGTAATATATATATATATATATATATATATATATGGGACTCCACAAGTTGATGGGGTTCTGTGTACTTTATAATTAGTGTTACAATGTGAGCTAATTAAATTAATAAAAATGTATAAACAAAACTATCTCGTTTTACTGCAAAGAAATATTGTGATAAAGAGACACTTCAAAACGTACTTGTCCAGTAGGTGTAGAACATGTTGTAAATCGTTTATCGCCTGACCAGTAAATCCTTGATACATATTCGATCGACACTTCATCATATGTATTTCAATTAATTCTTTGGAGAAAATTGAAAACGCAGAGAAGCGATAAAGTGGTATGGTTGTAATGAATTTTAAGCAACCAAAACTATAATATTTCTAAACACTTTACAGTAAACAATTTACAGTGGATAAATCCGTAGTCGTCTGGCAAACAAAAATTCTGAAATAATACCATACAATTCAATACACTATAAATTGATCGGTATTTGCCAAGGCATTGCATGACGATTATATTAACGCTTTTAGATTAAAAAAAAGTCTGAAATTCTTTAAAACAACCACTTTTTTTCAGGAGCAGCTACAGTTCTGTCAGAACAGAAGAGAAAAACAAAACTCGATGTGTGTGACAGTTGGTTATAGATATTCATAAAAATTTAGCCATTAAGAATCAAATCGGCAGTTCAAGTGTCACTTGATAACCATAGCCTACGGGGATTCTGTCGAATTTCCTAAATGAATCATGTACTCACATGGATGTTAACCCCTATTTTTCAAAAGTTGTCAGACTATTAAGAATGTCAAGTGGAAATCACCGCGGAATTAACTAGGTTAATCCTATTATTAAAACTCAGTTGTTACTCGATATGGACTTTCCATACACGATATTATGAAACAAACTTTGAATCCACCGACTCGTCAATCAAACATACCAGAGATCGACAGGTGCGTACTGCTTTTCAATGTTCCATAGTTTCAAATGGTTCTCTAATCGGTGTTGGTGCGTGATGAAGTACACAGTGAAATTCAAGGATAATATGTTATCGAGTACACTAATTTTGCAGTGGCTTTCTTTTCCAGTTGAACCTGTTAATGATGAAAATACTGTATACACAAAGATGCGCTTTTAGGTCTTTTATATTGAAGAAACTATAATAACCACAAAAAGCATATTGGAGGTTATCCTCAAGTTGAGTGTGGTTTTTCAGCATTTTTTGGGATCAGGTGCTACCATTCAAGTATAATTTTTCCACTCAACTATATATGAGATTTCGTTGAACCCTTCACAGCTATTCATATCACTCCGGTAGGCAAATTGTGGAGACGCCAAAAAAATTAAGTGTATATCATACCTATGACTTAATAAATTGAAACTGGTTTTATTTCGCAATCAATACCACAGTAAGATACTACAAGTCATTTTAACAATATGTTGGAGAACTCTATTCTTCGAAAAATCCTACTTGGTGTGAAACATGAAGTTTAGATAATAATATGTGATAAGCGCGCCGTAGAAAGACTATAGTGGATGGATATTATTAAATTATTTTGTTGTTGCGATGTAGCAGCACTATAAATTTTTTTATTATAGCTTGATTCCACACCGCAATTTTGGTACCAGTATGGATTTTCAGCATGTGATATCGGTAGCCCAAGTTTGGAGGCCGACCATTGATATCAGGTATGCGTCGGCAGGGGACCGAACCCCAGACCATTTGCATGGTCGGCGAGAGTCCTAACCGCTATGCCACCGACGCATGATTCTGAAAGGATATAAATTAAATCCTTGTGATCATATTAAAGTATCTGACAATCTAATGTATTGACTTAATCCACTAAAAGATAAATACACAACGAGTATACGAATAAGACACAAATGAATGAGAATAGTTGAAGTGGTAGGGTCATCAGTATGTATGAAGAAGAGGTGTACAAGCAAAGGAAACAAAAAAAGTGTAAATATAAATTTTTTTATTTTTTTTTCTTCACGTTCTCAGTGCAACATAGGGCCTCAAGCTAATCGCTTGAAGTTTCCGTAGCAGTGTTTAATTTTTACAGGATGGGGTTACTAGCCTCATGCCCAACCTTCCCTCTTTGCCAGTTCTATTACTAGCTTTGCGAGGTAAAGGAGTGCGTCGGCCGGGGATCGAACCTCAGACCATGTGCATGGTTGGCGAGCGTCCCAACCGCTATGCTACCGACGCGTAAACATAAATAAGTTCTTTAAAAAAAAATGATCAATCTCACCTTTAAGTATTAGAACATAAAACTTCCGATACAGCGGATCAGTCATATAACATCCTACAATCTCACTCAAGGCCTTATCAAAGCAAGAAAGTGATGCAGAAATTTCATTCATATGACGATAAGCTCGTCCACACCTATAGTATGAGAAAGCAATGGTTACATAAGAAGTTAGTTCTATTTACAAGTTAAGTAAAAAAGAGGAAAATTCATATTGGGAATGCAGTATTAATCAACACGAAGGAATTTTAAAAATATATGAATTAGCCAATGGATACTAATCACTGTTACAAAAACTGCTCAAAATAAATCCATCAGATTCACACAGTGTTATGACATTGAGTGGAGCAAACAATACGATCCTGTGAATAAAACTGCCAGATTTTAGAAGTGAACAAATAGAAAACCTTAGACAATATTACTACATTTACGCGTGAGCGGTTACAACAATGCCCACTTTATCAATAGACCTTGACGTGCTTTTCGATTAGTATGCTACGTTTGCTTAGTTGCATAAAACTCTCATTTCTCAGGTGTTTCTGACCGGGAAGTTGTGGAATTTATTGTAATTAGTTTACCTTCAAACACTGAATCTGTGGATATAATCTTGTTGACTGATAATACCTATAACTAACGGTATGGCATTTAGTGACTCTTTACCACTAATATCTATAATTGTATATATCATTGGATTAACATACCCAAGTTGACCCAAGTCAGTGAGTCCATGGTTTTGATATCACTTTGTTAACTGCATTTGACAGTGATACTACTGCTACGGTTTTTTAATGTTGTTGTCGCTGCCCTTCCTGTTGTGAATTTTTTCGTTTTGCTGGTGTTTTTCCGATTGCTTTATTCCTTGTTTTCCTGATTCTAAGGGGAGCAGCAGAAAAAGTCGCTCCACTGTAAACTATACATACAACCCCCTTCCCAGGCGTGAGGCTACCAACCCCACCCTGTAAATAAAGCTGCTACAGAAACTTCAGTACGATGAGTTTCCTTGAGACAAAAGAAAAAGTCTGTGTGGGGACATGGAACGTCCGCATCATGTATGAAACTGGCAAAGCTGCCCAGATTGCAAACGAGATGAAAAGATATGGTATTCAGGAACTGGGAATATGTGAAAGCAGATGGAATGGGAGTGCACTGACAAAATTGTCAACGGTAGAATCGTTGATCTACTTCGGTCACCCAGAAGACAACCACGAGCACACCGAGGGTGTAGCTATCATGATGTCACCAACGGCAACGATCTCGCCCAGGATAATGACCGCCACATTCAACTCAAAAGGAAGGAAAGTGACAGTTACACAATGCTATGAACCTAAAAACAACGCAGACCTCGAAAAGAAAGAAGAGTTCTACAAACTACTACAGGACAATACTCCAGTAGGTGACAATAAAATCCTAAACGGGAGACATGAACGCCAAACGGGACCAGGCAACACAGGAAAAGAACTCATTACGAGTAGAGACGCTCTCGGAGAGGTAAATGAAAACGAAGAACTCATCGCTGACTTCTGAGCCTTAAAAGAACCGGTGATTGGTGGCAGCGTATGCGTGCACAAGGCTACATGGGTGTCAGGAGACGGGCGAATCAAAAAACAAATTGACTTCATCTCAATGCTGTTTCAAGGAAGTAAAGATGCAGCCTACTGGACACAAAAGTAAGAAGAGAGGCAGACGTCGACTCAGACCACTATCACATGGAAGGAACACTCCAAATCGAATCGAAGTCTTTCAAGGAAACAGGAACTGCAGAGAGATCACAAGCCTAGCTCAACGCTCATAACCTGAAGGATCAGGATACGAAGGACATCTTCACTGCAAACATAAGGAAAAAGGCGGAGACACAAATCAACACTAGCGAAGAGATCAGCGTTGAAAAACACTGGAACAACCCGGAAGCGGTGTGGAGTCAAACCTGCATGGAAGTTATAGACAGAAAGAAGAGACAAGACAAACAGTGGCTCACTACGGACACATGGAGACTAATAGAAGAGAGAAGGATGGCGAAACAAAAGATTATCTAGTGCATCGACGAGCAACAAAAACAGGAGTTGAATGCAAGCTACAATACACTGAACAAAGGAGTAAAGAAAAGTGCCAGGGAAGACAAAAGAAAATATTATGAAGCTATGGCAAGTGAAGCAGAGCAAGCTGCAGTGCAGGCAAATGAGACCTCGCATCACTCTACCAAACAACTGGGTTCCTATCGGGGAAGCCAGTGAAGGATGACAATGGGAAGCCAATCAACAAAGAGGTGGAGCAAAGGAAACACTGGGCTGAACACTTCAAAAGACTTCTAAATCGACCGCCACCTACAACGCGCCCAATAATACCAACAGCGGAAGCAGAACTACCAGTGGACATCAACCCTCCGACGAGAGCAGAAATCCTGAAGGCAATCAAGATGCTAAAAACTGGAAAAGGAGCAGGACCAGACGCAATTCCAGCAGGAGCATTGAAAATGGACCCCGAGACATCAGCCGACTTGATGACACCATTACTGGAGAAGGTGTGGAAAGAGGGCAAGGTACTTGTGGACTGAAAGAAAGGCTACCTATTCAAACTGCCAAAGAAAGGGGACTTAAGTCAATGTAAGAACTGGCGCGGCATTATGCCGCATCATCCTGGAGAGAATCAAACACGACCTGGATGAAAAACTTCGACCGGAACAGGCTGGATTCAGGAGAAACAAGTCATGCATCGATCAAATCGCAACACTACGGATCATCATTGAACAGAGCTTGGAATGGCAGTCAGCTATCTATCTCAACTTCTTTGACCTTGAAAAGGTCTTCGATAGCGTCGATCGAGAGGTGATTTGGCAACTACTTCGCTACTACGGGGTGCCGCCAACAATTATACATCTCATCCAAGAGTTGTACGACAATGCTGAATGCCAAGTAATCCATAACGGGAAACTCAGGGAATCCTTCGAAGTGAAGACGGGAATAAGACAAGGCTGCCTACTGTCTCCAATGATTTTTCTGATTGCGGTAGACTGGATAATGCGACGGACAGCGGGCTGCGAGGAAGCAGGCATAAAATGGACCCACACAAAAATACTGGAGGATCTGGACTTCGCCGATGATATATGTCTGACTTCTTACAAACTGGAAGATATGCAAGTGAAAAGCAACAAGTTGGCAGGAGAAGCATCACAGATAGGACTTCAGGTGAACATAGAGAAAACAGAGGTGATGATGAAGATTCTTGGCCTACAGCAACAGCAGCAATGGTAACAGACAACAATCAGCATAATGGGAGAAATCCGGAAGAAGCAACCTCCTCTACCTACCTGGGAAGCATTGTTTCAACTACAGGCGAACGGAACTGACGAGGATATCAAAGCAAGGCAAGCCTTCATTTCTCTCACGTCTGTGTGGAGGTCAACAGCAATCAGCATGGAAAACAAGATCCGGATTTTCAACTCCAATGTGAAGTCAGTGCCATTATATGGATCAGAGACCTGGCGCCGCGTCACGAAGGGCACTTCGGACAAACTACAGACCTTCATCAACAGCTGTCTTCGCTCAAGATCAGATGACCAGAAAAGATCAGCAACAGGGATCTCTGGGAGCGAATCAACCAGGAACCGATTGTGAAACAAATATGCAGGAAGAAATGGAGGTGAATTGGCCATACTCTGAGGAAACCATCAAGTGGCATCATACGCCAGGCCATCACTCGAGTAGAACGCAAACGGAAAGCGGCGAGATGGTCGTCTGAGGGTGACATGGAGGAGGTCATGTGAAGAAGAGATGAAAGCATGTGGGCAGACATGGAGCAAGGTGAAAACGTTGGCAGAGAACCGAGGGCCATGGAGACGTGCGACTGAAGCCCTATGTTCCTCTAGGAATTGGAAGAAACAATAATAATAATAATAATAATAATAATACCCTGCACTAATTGTCAGATCAAATACGTAGTTCAAAGTAGTACAACGGAGTGAATCAGATTAGCAGAGCATAAAAACATAGCAAAATCTAGATTAGTTAACCCTAATGAATTAAGAAATCTGGAGACTTGCTCAGCTATATCACTACGTGCAATTACGCTGAACCACACAATAGGGCAGGGGATAATATGACAGCCTTAAAATCTAATATAATAGGATAGGGGGAGACATTGATAACGGAAGTCTTATTTATCAGATCAGCTGAAAATACGTTTAATAGAAAAGGTTCAACACCTATCCCAGACATCTTGAAAATTCTACTGCCCCTTCGACAAATGGGAAAACATAAAGAAAACTATAGAACTGAAGTCTCGAAGCTGTGTAACTACAACTGATATGATTATAAACAATAAATTGTGTTCGAGACATCATCTGGTAAATAATACATTTACAGGACATCAACTACACAAAAACTAATCCACGACAATGATCAAATGTACATAGAAGTTTTATTTTGAAAAGTATGTGTATAAACACATGAATGTTACTTACAGAATTAACGCAAATGGTCGATTAGGTCCCAACTAAAGTAAGAAAAAAAAAGAAACTTTGCAAAATTACAGAAAACATAAACGTTTTCCAAAACCTTATTTTACAGCGTATATCATATTTCACATAAAATGGAGTACTAACAAGGACAAGCGATACTACTTAGCCAACTGAATAAACATATGATGAAAATAAGAATTCAATAAGTGTATCGAGTTCAAAACAAGGTACGTTTTGTCATGAATCTACATCAATTAGAGAATTAATAAAATACACGTAGTACTGATCAGCTATCTTTTTTTAGTTTCGGACGTGTTTAGCTGTGCACACTGATCACTTTAGGAGGGAAAGAACTTACAGTATTCTTTCATCAATTAACTGCAACTACAAACAAATAGAGAGTGGATAGTGATCTGCACTATCGAAGCTAAGCAAACGATTAAGCTAAGTGAGTAAGTACATCTAATTAGGAGTAAAGTTTTAACTATGCGCACTGACCAAGTGACAACGAATATTTTTGACTAATCGACATCATCAGAAATTTCCACTTAGTCTGGGACTCTTTAGCGGTGCACACTCATAACTTCTAAAGAAAACAATCTACAACATTCAGCTGACCAAGCGAACAAGTTACCATCCAGCTTTCAAGAGTGGTTTCTCGTGAACCCCCATAGAGATCAACATGCGAAAGAAACTTCTACCCCAGTGCCCAAGTTTTATGCTTATATCAATGCTTCTTGATTCTCAGTGATTCTTCGACAAAATGTCAGTTCGTGGAGAAATCAAAATTTCAAACAATCAAATCCTTGCACAGTAAACATCTTTATCATGAGATTTCTGTATGAAAGTGACATACCATGTAAAAATGAGACTTATTGGTTGTTTCAATTTTATTCAACCTGATAGTGACAGGTAAATTTAAGTACGTGGGATAGGGTTCGAACATTGAATGAAAGTCACAAGTTCAAATAAACGAACCAAGGTTCCAAAAAAGGTAAAGATATTGATGAATGATGGGAAATGACGTATAAATTATTGATTGGTTACCGTGTAATATGATCTGGCTTGAATGACTTCTACAGATCGAGTTCGAAGTGTCAGCAGGAAACACGGAAAACAAAATGAATTTCGAGTTTAACATTTGAGGCTGAGTGATAGATTAAATCAGAAAGTTAGATGAAAACAAAAGGTATACAAAGGCGTATAACAATTGCAAGTGTCACACTTTATGATATAATCAACGCCACCTTTTTCAGATTAAGAAAATTAACTGAAAACTTCACCGTATTGTGATGAATCGCATTTAAGAACACAGTGAAAGGTAACCGTTTGTTTGAGTTTCAGATGTTTGTAAGATGTCTGCTGTTATTGTGGCACCATATGAAATTGTAAGTCTTCAGGGTGTTACTTTTATTCAAATAGTATGAAAAAGAATGCAACCCAAATCAAAAAGAACTGTGCATCAAATTGGTTGCAATTATAACGCAGAAGCAAACCGAGTAAAACAATTATACTTCATAAAATCAGCCTAATTTCTACTATAACTATTCGCGTTTATTAATCCAACAATGAGAAAACAACAGATGATTCATCAAATTCACTTGAAATGTTAAACTTGTTGTCACATTTGACTTATGCTGAGTTTCCTCAACTAAAATTAAGTATTTCAACTGTAACTTACTTCTAAAGCCCGGTTGAATGATCTGATAGCAGTCTCATGACTACCACGTAATAAGTAAGCTTCTCCAAGAATTTCCCAGTGTAATCTAGAAAACGTATCAAATAATACTTCAAAAAGTATAAATTGAATATAGGAATTCATACATTTCAAAACGCGATTGACTGGGAACTTTGTATACAAGTGCAACAGTTCAGTTTGCCGCACTCCATATGGCACAAAGAAGTAGAGAAAACGGCATGAAAAATTCAAACTAACCATTATGATCAGAAATGTACGGAAGAAACAATACCTATAAAGCAAAACCTTCAGGACTTATTTAACCTGGGAGATTACAATCAGTGAAATATTCAACACTATTCAGAATTTTGAAGCAAATCACTGACACAACTTGTCATAACCACTTCAATCGATGTAGCTTCACAACCTCATCGGTCGACTTCCCCTCTCTACCTAAAACTTCACGCCTAGCCTCAATATTAATCGCCCATTATACCACTTAACACGGGAGATAGAACGCAGGCACTTATGATAAAAGACAGTTGACATCTTCAGGTCTTCCTGTTTCAATGGTCATGTTGTATAGACATAAGGAAGGACAGAGCGAACTGCAGCGCAGTACATACGTCCTTCGACCGATAGCCGGATGTCACGTATTCGGCAAAGATGATTGGCACACGAGCCTTTTGTATCAGTGCCGGGATTTCGACAGCAATCAGTCGATTGGGATTTATGCATCTTCCAAAACAAGTGAAGTGGTCAACGCGCTTTACCACTTCACTTCCTATTTCTAAGCTAGGAGTCAATGTAGTTCACTCCTGTAGCATCACCTCACATTGGACAGGAGGAAATCGCATGCCAAACATTCGAAGATTGCTACTCAAGGTGTTCAGAAGACTCTGAATTTTGTCTGTGTCTTCACTTAGGAGGACAATATCATCTGCATATTCTAAGTCAACGAGATTATTCCTTGGTAACAAGTCAATCCCTGAGTCGCTGAAGTCAGTTAGGGTTAAGGCCACTAGTACACCTATGAAGAAGTTAAACAGAAATGGGGGCATACCTGACGGATCCCACTGGTTGTTGTCACTTCAGATGACAACTCTCTGTAGGTTCTCACCTTGCTGACTGCATGAGTTCAAGTAGAGTGCCTTGAGCAGTGCGATGTATTTTCTCGGCATTCTCTTCACAGCCAAACACTACCACAGTACCTATCAGTCGACGGAATCGAGTGCCGTCTTCAGGTCAAGATATAAGGCAATTGCTAGATGCCAGTAAGCATGCATTTGCTCCAGAATCGGTCAAAGGATGAAGAACTGATCCATACACTTCCTTCCTGGTGTAAAGTCTGCCTGGTTCTCTCATGTTTGTTCCTCCCGATCACCACTTAGTCTACGCATGATTATTCAGCTTAGAACTCTCGATACCATATGGGTCAAGCTAATCCACCTGCGATTATCACAGGAAGACTTGTCTCCCTTCTTGTATATCGGGATAATCAATGACTACCACCAGCCCGGTGGGACTATCTCTGATTCTCAGATGCTGCTCAATACCTTAGTTGACGCAGACAGTAAACTGTCTTCACTGTCCTCAAACACCTCTGGAGTCATTCCATCGGGTCCTGCTGCTTTGTCTTGTTTCCGACCAGTGGTAGCTTTTGTAACCTCATTTAGGGACAGAGGACTGATGTCCATTACCCATTCAGGGCGGTGTTGTATGCTGAGTAAGTTGAGCGTGGCTGTAGGTTAATTAAACTGCTCCTCAAAGTGTTCTTTCTAACGTTTAAGTCGTCTATCCTGAGCTAATCATGGTGCCATCTGTTTCGGAGATTGTTTCACCTATCATTTGTCTATTCACACCTGTTTTCCTAATAGGCCTTAATAGTTGTTTGGTGTTACCTATCACCTATGAATTTCCCATCTCTTCCGCTTTTTTTCGCCCACTACTGTTCACAGTCGTTGCGAAGACTTCTTGTTAGTTTGCGTTTGAGCAGCTTTCGCTCCTCATCATATTCAGAGACGGCTATAATCAGTCTTTTTGCTTTCATCAGTTTGGATGAGGTAGTAGAAATCCACTGGCGTTTACTAACTCTTTGGTTTTGGGTTATCAACAGCCTATATGGTTGAATCTACAGCTAATTGTATATTGTGCCAGGCTTCCACAGGAGGAGTCCTGGTGTCCATCTCAGATACGTGTTTGGCTATTTCTTCCGTGATTAGGAACTCAGAGTCTCGACCTAGTTGGGGAGGTAACTGCTTCTCTGCCAACAATTTTTTATATCCGTTTAATCGTAAGTATAAACGTGCATGTACCAGGGCGTGATCGGAGTCTACGCACGTGTTCCAGAAGGAGCGGCAGTCGTCTACCGACCCTCGTCAACGATACCCTATCGCTATGTGGTCTATCTGAGTCCAGCGTTGATTTGATGATGGAGGTCACCAGGTTACGCAATGTGTCTCTCTTTGTGTTGACTAGGAACAAATGATTACCTGAACAGAACTGTAGAAGACGATTACCGTTGTCGGTTCATCGGCAGGGAACTCCATACGTACCACCTACATACTTCTCGGTCTGGCACAACTTCCCTGCTTGGGCATTGAAGTCGCCTACTAAAACAACTATATCTGAACGTTTTGCTTTTTGCAGTAAATTAGACAGTTTCAGGTAGAAGTTATCCTTTAGTTCATCCGAACTGCAGTCTGTTGGGGCGTAAGCGAAGACTATGAAAAGACAACGATGGGTAACGCCGTCCTTCCTTCTTCTAACGGACAGCACACATACGACTATCCACTGGGATGCGGTCCTGCCTTAACACTCAATGCTATCCCTACACTTGCGAGTCCTCGTGAACTAGATGAGGGGTTTCCTGACGCTCTTTAGGTGAATTTTGCAGATTTACCTTGTTGGCCAGGTGGGGTTAAGTGAATAATCACACTCAGGTCTTGTATGCGCGTCTCCGAAATACAACATACACCCATGCCTGGAGATTACAGAGTGCTGGCTAGTGATGCCTGTTGTCTGATTTGGCAGAGGGTCCTGACGTTGAAAGCTCTTATATGAAGTTGGCGACGTGGCTTTTAAGAGAATGTCGGGAGTGTCACTATGGCTACCATCATTGTGGTCACAGAGTGAAGTGAAGATGATGTACTAGTCTGCAGAATAGTGTTTATGGTAGCAATCATCCTTGCTTGATAGGAACTGCAGTAATATTAGTTGCAGGCAGTGTATCTTGTTGGGTCATTGCGATATGCAAGCCCGACCACCACGTCAAGCTAGGAGCTATCGGTCGGTAATATTTTGAAGAGATTGTAGTCACCGTACACAGCGTCATTTTTTGTGATGGGTATGAATTAAGTTCAATTTCTTCTTTGTCAGTGCCAGTCTTCACACTGTGTTAGTGAGTTTATTAATAACCCCACTAAGTCATTCAATGTGATTGCAAGGTTTATGTGCTATGTCTTACACAACCAAAGTTCGGAGAAAATCCTGTTTTTACTTTCTAACTACACTGGAATTAAATTAGATGATTTTAAAATTATTCCTTCAGACTAGGTGCTCAAAATCTGGAAAAGTTAATGGTAACCTCTATGGATTATATCGTTATCTGTTTTTAAATTAAGCAGGTGCAGATAGTACGTCACTTCGCACTTATCAGTCATGCAATATATAATATACGAGTACAATTATAAAAGTAATCGGAGCCATTCACAGGTTTTTCCTCACAATGAGTTAGAGAATATTTTATTAGGGTTAACTAATTATCATTAGTCAATAAATTTAATATCAACCGTGGCATTGATCAAAAAATTTTCGAACTAGACTAATTTAGTCTAGAGGATTTTTCTTCCAAACCATCAGAACACTATCACGTATTTCTGCGAATACCTGATTGTGGTTTAGGGTTGTGCTGATTTCACCTGTCTTTCAGTAACGATAAAATTCTTTTTTGATCATCAAAGAGAATTCAGCATCTTCACTGTTGCGTCTAAGGTTCTACGACACATAATGGTACAATATCCAACCAAAGTTGGGAACAGCAAATTGTACAGAAATCACACAGCCTTGCGAAATATGAATGTGAAAAAATCAACTAAATCCTTACCTTCCTTCAAATCTTGAAAAATTCATTAAAGCCTGGTACAGGTTCCTACTAAAAACGTAATTTTCCTCTTCTGGATTGGTTTGACTACTTAAAGTTAAGTGGATGAGTGTATTTATCTGTTTGACTTATCTAGGTAGGTATGTGAATCGTAATGACTTAGTGGTCAATGAAGCACAGCTCAAGCATAAAGAGGTTTGTTTATCTCTCATCAGCTTATGGAATTACCACTGTCATTGCGTAATATATTGGCCAAAGTTCGGTAGGAAAGTCTATTAGTCAGTTTAACTGGTTGTTTTAAGGCATCAAAGCTGGTGTTAATCAACCTCATTAATTTGGCAATGTTACTGCATGTTTGTATGCATCCGGCGACTTATGTCAATGTACTTACGTCATGTTTCTGCTGAATATGAGAGATAAAACGGAGATTATTTCTTTTATAATCATTAAATTTTTTCTGTCCCGTCATATGGTTTTATTTTATTTCTACTTTTAAGGGAATCACTAACCGCTTATGCTGAGGCTTATCGTTTAATGCCTTCTTTGCCAACTTGTGTGTATTATTATGCAGTGGGATTGTGTAGACAAGAGGAATGGGTAAATTTTTACTATTGCTAAAAACGTATTTTAGTGTAATCTCATGCATGTTTGTTTTTGTGATCTCGAAACCTTGATCCGTACTGACAAGAATCCCCTGTAAAACTTAATACGACAAACTGTTCGACGTAGTGCATAGTTTAGAGTCTAGCCTCTCATGTAGACACGAAATGGAATGCATATGACACAACTAAATGATTGGAAACATTTTACCCAGTATATTAGATTCAGTATTCACTAAAAGGAGAGTTATGATAACTTGATCAATATACACGAGTGACAATACAAACAAGCAAACATGCTAGTGACAACACTTAAATGTCCACATTAAAGAATGAAAATCGAAATTTGCAATACTTCGTTGTGAACACAGGTGACACAATCGATTAGATGGCATGATTTTTAGCGAGAAATGTTTCCGGACAGTGAATATTATGCACTTGCGTACAAATGAAAAGAAATAGATGCACTTACACTGAAAACGCAATATACTTTAATGTCGTCACAACATGGGTAATTTTCACTCCTGAATATGTCTAACATCAAATACAGTACGCTGGAATTTTACATCACTTCGAAAAGCACTCAGAATGTGTGAGAACGAAGTGAAAAATCAGTATACAATCAAATAATATCTGAAGACCTTTTTAATTAATGGTGGAAGAATTTTGGATGAATAAATCGGGCCAAGTTAAACTTTAGACACCAGTAACTACCAATCAGCGAAAGACGTCGAATTATCCAATGATATTCACGAACGTAGTTCAATGTTGTATAGCGCTTGATTTATTTCAAATGCGTGCCCTTACAAGGTTACGTTTGCGATTCGAGGAGGATAGTGTCTTTCAGTATTGCCTGGACTTAGGCTTGCTTCGAAAGGAGAGAAGTTGTTCGTGTGGTGGTGTTATGACTCTAAAAAGCTATACCAGGTCAACTGATGGCTTTGTCCATCGTTGTGGAATATGCTGGAAGCGAGTTAGTATTAGAGAGGGTAAGCTGCTAATTTTAATATTTCGTAGGAACTTTTTTTGCTAGGCCGCATCTCTCCCTAACCAAGATTTTGTACATCTGCAATTACTGGGTATTGAAACAGCCGGTGAGAGCCGCTGCTGCCGAGACGGAGAACAGCCTGGTTTCAACAGTTCAGTGGTACCAGCACTGCAGAGACATCGCCTCATGGAGAATGGAGAGAATTACTTCGCTGTTAGGGGGGGGACGACGTAGTAGTGCATGTGGATGAGACAGTGTTGGTGAAGAAGAAATATAACCGTGGTCGTCAGAGAGCGAACAACATTTTGGTCATAGGTTTATACGACACGTCCCTCCGAAAAGTATTTGTTGAAACAATAGCAGACAGAAGGGCGACTACTCTGATACCTATTATAACGCGACTTATGAAACGTGGATCAATTGTACATAGCGACGAGTGGAAAGGGTACAATTCATTGTCATCCCTGGGATACATTCATCACAGAGTGAACCACTCCAGTGATTTCGTGGATCCAGTTACAGGGACTCATACAAATTCCATTGAAGGATTTACGGGTCGATTGAAAAATAGCATACTGGCTATAAATGGATCTCAAAAGGATCTCATTCATAGTCATTTAGATGAATGTATGTATAGAATGTGGTGCGACTTCTCTATTGACAGTCCCACGCTGAATTGGGAAATGTTTCTGTCCCGTGTTCGGGAAAGATACCTATTGTTGCCGTTTTATCATTTTTTATGCATTTTTCTATAAATATACGTTTCCACTTATCATAAACACCTCTTTCATGTGATTGGTCCGTTCAAGGTCGTTTGCTGATTGGTTGTTTGTTACTGGTGTCGAAAGTTTAACTTTGCCATAAATCGATTAGCACCATTTCACCTAACACGGAAACTTAGATCGTTCATTTATGTACCTTAAAGTTGTACATTATATAAATAAGTACACAGGAATGTGTAGTATATAAATAGTACTTACGCCTCATTTTTAAGCAGAACAACCCGTTGTAAAGCAGGTAAACATTCGTAAATTCGACCCAAACGTAAACCAATCAAACCATAATTAAGCCACATATCTTTGGTGAATTCACTACAAACAATAGAATAAAAATTATACGGAAAATCCTTGCCAGAAAGAGGATTTAAACTGCGAATAGTTCCGAAAACAACATATTGTAACGACAGAAAACAAGGGCCAGGTAACAGATCGTTTATTGGGAAAATCGACAGATATTTATAGATTTTTATGTACATTATTATTCGTTTTGCAATTAACAGTGTTCTCTGAGGTGGTTGGTTTATCTGCGAAGCGACGAAAGCTTCGCAACTAAACCAACCACCTCAGAGAACACTGTTAATTGCAAATCATCCACCTGAGCTACAAATCTTCTCTATTATTATTATTCGTTATTTTAGCAGAGATCTTCTGATTGATTCCTCTTGTTGAAGGTTATTCTGTCATCTCTTTGTTGCCGTTTCTTAGACAGTCCGTTGATACATCTGCTAATCGTATCCGCCCACGCTAAGTCTACTGTGATTGGTTGCTGAGTTAGTCTTTGTTCTTGTTTTTTCTCATGATCAAGATTTGGGACATAAACATTGACGTAAATTGCTGTCTACTAATTTTGGCTAGCAGCTCTCACCACAATATGATCAGTCATTAATTTATAGACTACTTGCAGTGTATTTTGAAGCGATAAAAGTTCGAAATAATTCACCGCTGTTTAACTGATACCTCTAGTATACCATAGAGACAGAAGTTGTTCTACAAACGCCTACAGATGAATTACCTACTTCCTACATGTTGTCAAGCTAATGTCTGCAGATACACTAAACAATTCCATTCAAAGGTTTACGCTTCAGTCTAATTTCATTAATCATTATCACTTTGAAATCTTCCCTCACCTATCGAGGTTTTAGATGCTATTTCATATCACCGATACTCAAACAGTAAGTATCCTGCAGAGTATACTTCACCAATTTTTGCACGGTTATTTAGCTATTACCTTTAGGACGATATGTATGGATAAAAAACACCATAAGACTGAATAAGTCAAATTTCACCATTAAGAACTCGGTTACGAGAAACATCTAGCCCAGTGAAAATAAACCCTGTACAGGTTAATGCAGTTACATAATAATTCCTCTAACCTTTTGTACAAATTCTGTTTACAATGGTGTTTTACTAACCGGTAAACTGTGACTCCGTGCATACTATTACTTTCACTTACCTCTTGTCTATAGAAGAATAGACATCTAACGCCTTTTCCTGCGTATACAAAAGAACAAAATAAAATAATAATTGAATCATTAGTGACAGAAACAAAGTAATAGGCGGGTTTCTATATATGAGTTTGCCTATATAACTTCGTATGAATTTATCAACTCATTGAATACTAATCGCAAAGTTGACTTGCAGTACCCACATAAGACATTTAGGATGGTAACAAAGTCCACTGATAAACAGTGAGTACAGCGGTCCTAAAATGTTCCTTACCTGTCTTTCATTCTTCTGAATGTTAATATTAAATCAAGGGAGATACTGAATTGATGTCTAATTACTGGATGTTGAATGTATTCAGGAGTCACAAGCATTTCAGCACTGATACTTTTGAATCAATATTAGTATACAATGAAAATTCAGTGAATTCCGGTTACTGATATCAATCCGTGGTCAAACTCGTAAAAAAAACAAATCTAATCCTTACAAACCAAATCTTGAAAAATTCCGATTACCACTAAAGTGAAGTCTCTCACCTGAGAGTTGTGTATATTGTCCTGTCCATGTGCTTTTAGTACGCAAATTTCTCCTTATACTACCATCTGGATTTTTCTTGTAACGAGGACATCTAGGAAGGCAATTCTCCTCACACGTGAATTTCATAGCAGACGTTTGAAAAAACTAAGGAAGGAACAGACATTTCCTGGAAGTTTACATGAAGAAATCAGGCCAACGGGCGCGTACATGCCAAGACTGTATGGCGTACTTAAAGTACATAAACCCGGGTACCGTTAAGACAAATACTTGATATGCAAAATTCGCCTTACCGTGCTCTAGATAGATGGTTAGTAAATATTCTCAAAACTGCATGAGCAGATAGTGAAACATATTGTCAAAGATATTAATTTGCAGCATAAAACTATGATATCTTTAGACATAATATCTTTAATCACGTATCCACCTCTAGTAGAAACGGCTAACTACATATGCGAACAGGTTTACAGTAAGTGAATAAATATTGGTATCCCGCCAGAAATCCTACGAGAATTTTTATTAAGGTGCACCATGAATGTAAATTTTAAAATTGATGGCACACTTTACAGACAAGTGAACGGGGTGGCAATGGGCTACCATTGGGTTTCATTTCGACAGATTTCTTTCTAAGCAAACTAGAGAATAATCCTTTGAACAACCTGATCAGAAAATTCTCATTTTATTGCCGGTACATAGATGACATCTTTATTCTTTGTGATACTGATTCGAATAGGAACACAATGATAACTCAATTCAATGCAGTACATTCCACTATGAAGTTCACGTGTGAGGAGAAACCTCCAAATAGAATCGCCTTCCTAGATGTCCTCCTTACAAGAAAAAACCAGATGGTAGTATAAGGAGAAATTTGCATAGGAAAAGCATATGGATAGGACAATATACACATTATCATAGCTTCGTCCCTCTTCAATACAAAAGAAATTTGGTAAGGATCCTCAGCTAAATGGTCAGAGCTATATGCTCAGAAGACGTAATTGAAGATGAACTAAGGATTGTACATAATACCTTGATCGAAAATAGCTATCCAGACAAATTCATTAGGAAACATACGACTAAGAAAGTTGGAAAGGACTACTCACTATCCGTAAACAAGAAGCCTTTATACATACAACTGCAATTTAAAGGCGATATACCTAGCAAAATAATTACGAAGAAGTTAAGAAAATCAGTTCAAAGAACTTTTAATGCCTGCAAACGACAAGTCTTATTTTCTACACGACTGATGGTGATTACTCAACTGAAAGATGAAGTACATAGACCAGCCACTTCCAGTTGTATCTACCAATTCAATTGCGCTTGTGGAGCGAGTTATATTGGCCATTGCTCTAGGAACTTGATTTATCATTCGCGGGAACATCTGCCAGTGCGATTAAGTAAAGGAATAGTGAGAAACATCAACAGCTCGATATTACAATACTTCGTCCAAACTGGCCACAAAGCTAATATTGAAGAGCCCTTCTCCATCATCTATCGGCTACTAAACAACTGCCAAAAACATCCAGGTACCACATACTCCAAACAGCAGAAGCTTTCGCGATCCACCTGAGACAACCGGTGCTCTGTGTGCAGAAGAAATAGGTCCAACCACTATTACTGCCCTGGCCTGCTGTGGAGTTTGCAAATTCATAAATACCTTATTACATCGACTTTTTTGAAATGGCCCTCCATCTTGTACATATGAATCCCCTACCCCCCTGTCATACACTTGCATTAACTAACCTTTTGTTTTATTTAAAATCAGTTGTCAACTTTCACGCTGACAGGCATACAACGCACACAAAATTCCACCCCAAAAATCTTTTTTCTCCACCCCCGTCCTTGGCATGATCATTTATCCACCTGAAGTTTATAATCAATATGAATGGAACTTAACATGAACATGACTCATGAGAATTTATTACTATACCTTCGTTATCATTCATAATCACTTTACTTTGTAATATTAGTGTTCAATTTATTATTACAATTACACATTACCACACACGTATATTTTGGACTATAATCTATTAACAATCTAATTGCAAATAGCTTTTGGAATTCTGATCTAAATGATTCGAAGTTACTCTTTTAAAAACCACCAATTATGTAAGTAACAATCATTCTTTCATTATAGTGGATGTGTAACTGTAGAACCTGATGACGAAGCTGTCGAAAAGAATATTCTTTGTTCAATAAACAATCTTCTGAAATTTCGAATAGTCATCTTTAATCAGCATATTGTATTCAGAAAACAAACATGCATGAGATTACACTAAAATACGTTTTTAGCAATAGTAAAAATTTACCCATTCCTCTTGTCTACACAATCCCACTGCATAATAATACACACAAGTTGGCAAAGAAGGCATTAAACGATAAGCCTCAGCATAAGCGGTTAGTGATTCCCTTAAAAGTAGAAATAAAATAAAACCATATGACGGGACAGAAAAAATTTAATGATTATAAAAGAAATAATCTCCGTTTTATCTCTCATATTCAGCAGAAACATGACGTAAGTACATTGACATAAGTCGCCGGATGCATACAAACATGCAGTAACATTGCCAAATTAATGAGGTTGATTAACACCAGCTTTGATGCCTTAAAACAACCAGTTAAACTGACTAATAGACTTTCCTACCGAACTTTGGCCAATATATTACGCAATGACAGTGGTAATTCCATAAGCTGATGAGAGATAAACAAACCTCTTTATGCTTGAGCTGTGCTTCATTGACCACTAAGTCATTACGATTCACATACCTACCTAGATAAGTCAAACAGATAAATACACTCATCCACTTAACTTTAAGTAGTCAAACCAATCCAGAAGAGGAAAATTACGTTTTTAGTAGGAACCTGTACCAGGCTTTAATGAATTTTTCAAGATTTGAAGGAAGGTAAGGATTTAGTTGATTTTTTCACATTCATATTTCGCAAGGCTGTGTGATTTCTGTACAATTTGCTGTTCCCAACTTTGGTTGGATATTGTACCATTATGTGTCGTAGAACCTTAGACGCAACAGTGAAGATGCTGAATTCTCTTTGATGATCAAAAAAGAATTTTATCGTTACTGAAAGACAGGTGAAATCAGCACAACCCTAAACCACAATCAGGTATTCGCAGAAATACGTGATAGTGTTCTGATGGTTTGGAAGAAAAATCCTCTAGACTAAATTAGTCTAGTTCGAAAATTTTTTGATCAATGCCACGGTTGATATTAAATTTATTGACTAATGATAATTAGTTAACCCTAATAAAATATTCTCTAACTCATTGTGAGGAAAAACCTGTGAATGGCTCCGATTACTTTTATAATTGTACTCGTATATTATATATTGCATGACTGATAAGTGCGAAGTGACGTACTATCTGCACCTGCTTAATTTAAAAACAGATAACGATATAATCCATAGAGGTTACCATTAACTTTTCCAGATTTTGAGCACCTAGTCTGAAGGAATAATTTTAAAATCATCTAATTTAATTCCAGTGTAGTTAGAAAGTAAAAACAGGATTTTCTCCGAACTTTGGTTGTGTAAGACATAGCACATAAACCTTGCAATCACATTGAATGACTTAGTGGGGTTATTAATAAACTCACTAACACAGTGTGAAGACTGGCACTGACAAAGAAGAAATTGAACTTAATTCATACCCATCACAAAAAATGACGCTGTGTACGGTGACTACAATCTCTTCAAAATATTACCGACCGATAGCTCCTAGCTTGACGTGGTGGTCGGGCTTGCATATCGCAATGACCCAACAAGATACACTGCCTGCAACTAATATTACTGCAGTTCCTATCAAGCAAGGATGATTGCTACCATAAACACTATTCTGCAGACTAGTACATCATCTTCACTTCACTCTGTGACCACAATGATGGTAGCCATAGTGACACTCCCGACATTCTCTTAAAAGCCACGTCGCCAACTTCATATAAGAGCTTTCAACGTCAGGACCCTCTGCCAAATCAGACAACAGGCATCACTAGCCAGCACTCTGTAATCTCCAGGCATGGGTGTATGTTGTATTTCGGAGACGCGCATACAAGACCTGAGTGTGATTATTCACTTAACCCCACCTGGCCAACAAGGTAAATCTGCAAAATTCACCTAAAGAGCGTCAGGAAACCCCTCATCTAGTTCACGAGGACTCGCAAGTGTAGGGATAGCATTGAGTGTTAAGGCAGGACCGCATCCCAGTGGATAGTCGTATGTGTGCTGTCCGTTAGAAGAAGGAAGGACGGCGTTACCCATCGTTGTCTTTTCATAGTCTTCGCTTACGCCCCAACAGACTGCAGTTCGGATGAACTAAAGGATAACTTCTACCTGAAACTGTCTAATTTACTGCAAAAAGCAAAACGTTCAGATATAGTTGTTTTAGTAGGCGACTTCAATGCCCAAGCAGGGAAGTTGTGCCAGACCGAGAAGTATGTAGGTGGTACGTATGGAGTTCCCTGCCGATGAACCGACAACGGTAATCGTCTTCTACAGTTCTGTTCAGGTAATCATTTGTTCCTAGTCAACACAAAGAGAGACACATTGCGTAACCTGGTGACCTCCATCATCAAATCAACGCTGGACTCAGATAGACCACATAGCGATAGGGTATCGTTGACGAGGGTCGGTAGACGACTGCCGCTCCTTCTGGAACACGTGCGTAGACTCCGATCACGCCCTGGTACATGCACGTTTATACTTACGATTAAACGGATATAAAAAATTGTTGGCAGAGAAGCAGTTACCTCCCCAACTAGGTCGAGACTCTGAGTTCCTAATCACGGAAGAAATAGCCAAACACGTATCTGAGATGGACACCAGGACTCCTCCTGTGGAAGCCTGGCACAATATACAATTAGCTGTAGATTCAACCATATAGGCTGTTGATAACCCAAAACCAAAGAGTTAGTAAACGCCAGTGGATTTCTACTACCTCATCCAAACTGATGAAAGCAAAAAGACTGATTATAGCCGTCTCTGAATATGATGAGGAGCGAAAGCTGCTCAAACGCAAACTAACAAGAAGTCTTCGCAACGACTGTGAACAGTAGTGGGCGAAAAAAAGCGGAAGAGATGGGAAATTCATAGGTGATAGGTAACACCAAACAACTATTAAGGCCTATTAGGAAAACAGGTGTGAATAGACAAATGATAGGTGAAACAATCTCCGAAACAGATGGCACCATGATTAGCTCAGGATAGACGACTTAAACGTTAGAAAGAACACTTTGAGGAGCAGTTTAATTAACCTACAGCCACGCTCAACTTACTCAGCATACAACACCGCCCTGAATGGGTAATGGACATCAGTCCTCTGTCCCTAAATGAGGTTACAAAAGCTACCACTGGTCGGAAACAAGACAAAGCAGCAGGACCCGATGGAATGACTCCAGAGGTGTTTGAGGACAGTGAAGACAGTTTACTGTCTGCGTCAACTAAGGTATTGAGCAGCATCTGAGAATCAGAGATAGTCCCACCGGGCTGGTGGTAGTCATTGATTATCCCGATATACAAGAAGGGAGACAAGTCTTCCTGTGATAATCGCAGGTGGATTAGCTTGACCCATATGGTATCGAGAGTTCTAAGCTGAATAATCATGCGTAGACTAAGTGGTGATCGGGAGGAACAAACATGAGAGAACCAGGCAGACTTTACACCAGGAAGGAAGTGTATGGATCAGTTCTTCATCCTTTGACCGATTCTGGAGCAAATGCATGCTTACTGGCATCTAGCAATTGCCTTATATCTTGACCTGAAGACGGCACTCGATTCCGTCGACTGATAGGTACTGTGGTAGTGTTTGGCTGTGAAGAGAATGCCGAGAAAATACATCGCACTGCTCAAGGCACTCTACTTGAACTCATGCAGTCAGCAAGGTGAGAACCTACAGAGAGTTGTCATCTGAAGTGACAACAACCAGTGGGATCCGTCAGGTATGCCCCCATTTCTGTTTAACTTCTTCATAGGTGTACTAGTGGCCTTAACCCTAACTGACTTCAGCGACTCAGGGATTGACTTGTTACCAAGGAATAATCTCGTTGACTTAGAATATGCAGATGATATTGTCCTCCTAAGTGAAGACACAGACAAAATTCAGAGTCTTCTGAACACCTTGAGTAGCAATCTTCGAATGTTTGGCATGCGATTTCCTCCTGTCCAATGTGAGGTGATGCTACAGGAGTGAACTACATTGACTCCTAGCTTAGAAATAGGAAGTGAAGTGGTAAAGCGCGTTGACCGCTTCACTTGTTTTGGAAGATGAATAAATCCCAACGGGTTGATCGCTAACGAAATCTTAGTACGGATATAGAAGGCTCGTTTCGCATATGCCAGTTTACGACATCTCTGGGTAGATGCGATATCCGGCTATCGACCGAGAGGCGTGTGTAATGCGCTGCAGTTCGCTCCGTCCTCCTATATGACTGAGACATGACCATTGAAAGTAGAAGATATCAAAAGACTAGCTGTCTTTGATCATAAGTGCCTGCGTTCTATCTCCCGTGTGAAGTGGTGTAATAGAGTGAGCAATATTAAGGTTAGGCGTCGAGTGCTAGGTAAGTAGAAGAAATCAATCGACGAGGCTGTGCAGCTACATCGACTGAGATGGTTAGGACATGTGTTAAGCATGCCTAGCCATCGCCTTCCTCCACGGGAAATGTTAACTGACATAGGATTAGATTGGAAAAGAGCTAGTGGTGGTCAAACCAAAACATGGCTTCATCAGTCAATGAAATCCACAACACTTAGTTTAAGTCATGTAGGGAGGTGTAGACTTTCTGGTTGGGGTCTTCAGGATGGTAGAAACCAATGACTAGAGACAATTGGCGATATGGCTCAAAATCGTACTCAATAGTGCAGATGCTTTCACTCTTTGTGATTTTCAATATCCAATAAAATTCTATTGTTCTTTGATATTACTATTCTTTTTGCCTCATATTTCTGTTTATTATCTCTCTTTTGAGTCTTTCTTTAGTCTTTTCTCTTGCTTTGTGTGCTACATGGAGTGTGGCAACTCGAACTGTTGCACATCTGTGCAAAGTTCTACGTTTAAGCTAGTCAGTCAGTCTTCAAAAGATTGTTCACAAGTTATGAAAAGTCACTTACAAATACAACATACTGAGTAGTTTTAATTAAGAGTAGAAGACATCCTGACTAAGGAAGTTTAATTTACTCATGCCCAATAGTTTACGATCTTAGTACATAATTTCATCCAGAAATGTTAGGTAGAACACAGTTATTTCACAGTCGTTTATAAAAGCATATAATGCAATAAACTGTAAAATACTAATAACACTGGTTTAATGGAAAAGTGATTCACTGACGAAATTTAAATACAGAAAATTAATCCAGAGGGAAAAGTAGCAATCTTACTTTGAATTTTCCATCTCACGATATATGTGACCAATTTGCAAGTAATTAGCATAATAACGCATATCAAACTGAATACCAAGTGAGAATTTCTCTAGTTGCTGTTCTAAGGCCATTGTAGAAGAACAGTCTTTGAATGATTGTGTACAGATTTTCATAACATATCCCAATAAATACTGAAAACGACTGGAACCAATTGCATCACTTGTTTTGAGTAAATTCAATAATTCCTCTTTGCCAGAGAGTGGTGTTATCTCTGAGTGAAGAGTAAAACATTAGGAATGAAAGTTATGCTTTCTACACTGAAAGCAAATAATCAATTACCAAGTTACAGCCAAATACGAGACTAATTACAACTTATTCACACTAAACATCGAATGCATGCATTACTTGCTTCGATATAAATAGGTATTTAACCAAATTATTAATAACTTTCTGGTAAGCTGTGTGAAATTGAGCTATATATTCGACTTAAGTTGAAAGACAACCTGGGTCACAGCATTCTCAGTATAAGCCCTAAAGTTACAAAAAGCCAATGAAACAATTGTGGTTGGATCTCAATAACTCACACAATAGGGCATCAAGCTAAATTTTCCTTCGAATCAAATGGTAATTCCCTTGGATTTATTCACATTTAACTGTATGAAAAGTATATGAGTAACTCATCAGATTATAAAATGCAATTTGCACTAGTTTTCCATTAACACAATTACTCATGTGAAAACAACTTACCCTCCATAATTTTTAACTCCGCAGGCTTAAGATTAAACACCAACTTTAACCACACTAAACAGACTTGAAACCGAGGAGATAAACGGGCATTATCAATTTTTGATTCCTTTCGACAACCATGAAGAGATTTCCACTTTTCCAGGATATGAAATGATGCTTTTATATTATTCACAAGTAGATAGTATTCCATAGAAAGAGTAAGAAATACATCTTTCCAACAATAAGGAATCTGAAAAGAAAAGAAGACGAAACAAAATTCAAGTCTAATGATTTGATAATATTTGATCACTGAGTATCCCATATTATTCATTATTTTGAGGTCTATATTTCCCAGAGAACAGAAAACACACGATCGTAAAAACAATCTTCACATGTTCCAACTGAAAGCGGACAATGAAAAACACAGTGACATACAAACATTTCAAAGAGGACATACAATCCAAATTTTATCACTTTTAAACAGACAACTTTAAAGGTGAACGATGTCAATGTGTGTGACAATAGACAGTCAAGTGAACAGGGTATTTGAAATTCTTGATTATAATTTGTGTTCAAGATTACATGTAAGCACCAAATAAGTGAGATAAATTAAAAAATAATCTGTTGACTTGCTTACGTAGTCAGCATTCTCAGTTTGCCGAAGAAGAGTTCCAATTTGTTCATCATTATCATTAGTTGCGACTTCTGAATTACAAGTATTTGCAATCAAAAGTGTACTTAGCCAATACTTAACAAATGTATATATATCACATGTTGTTGGTACGTTTTCTGAAAATTTGGTTATGTTTAAACGAAGTGGCGTACACATGAGACGTTGAGACGGGATATTGCTAGTTGAACTCTTGCTTAATTTATCAACTGATCCAGTAAAATCAGTAGATTCTGTATTGTATTGTCGACAATTTTTATCAATATAAGATATCACTAGGGAAAAAAATTTTTGTATAGAATGAAACAATAATTACAAGGAAATGGAAATATGAACAATGATATAAGAATTGAATTTAGGCACTGGAGTACACTGCAGTTTTAAATTATAATTATTTTATTTGATATAGACTACGATGACACAGTATTCTTCACTTATACATAGACAAATGAATAATACCGTATTACTGTACGTCGTGTCAAATGAAATTATTTTAGGAAAATATGAATATTCTTAAACACAAATAACTAGAAATGTGAATAAGCGGTATATCACGAGTGCATGTATACCTAAATATAACGATTCCATCCCCTGGAAACCCTACTTGAGGGAAATTTTGTGCTTTTTAGCATACATCAGCAGGATGTATATAAAATCTTGACAAAACGTATGTTATATCGGAGATTAAAACATGCGTCACTCAGTAATCCACCCAAACTCTCTATCACTAAGTTACTCAGCTCCTAGATAAGGTACACGAATCGATTGCTCGGTTATAACCATCGACAGTACTAAAAGCCTGCAAACCACCTCGGCTATGGTTAAAAGCAGTGGCACAGAATGCAGATAATAAAACTGAACCGTTATCACAATCTGTAACATGCGTAAACCGACTGTGACACATTTTTTTAAAGAGATGAAATATACGAGTTCAGATTGTACTACTCTTTTGAATCGCAAACTATTTAGCTCATATAAATAGGTGAATCTATTGTCTAAGCTTGTGCCGACTAAAATAACAAGTACAATAGCCTAGCAGGAGGCCATCATAGATAAATATTACCAACAGAAACATAGGTGGAAAGGAGCAAAACCTCAGTAGCTACACGAAAAAATGACTCAAATACATGACAGTCATTTATCTTACTTTTATTTAACTATTCTCGAAAGGTTGATTGGTCTGTAAATCCATCCCTACTAACACAATTCTACCCACCTTTTGAACTTCATGAAAATTTTTCATCAGATTACTGAATAGTATTGATTCAATCCTTACAGGAATATAAAAGATTGAATTCAAAAAGTATTTAGTCTTGTCAAGCCTAACCACTTTTATTTTAGAACAAAGCTGGAAAAACGGTTTGTGCAAAGGATAGCAACGGACATGGACAGAAGCACAATAGTCATCTGGTAAATTAATGAATCTCAAATAGGATGAGTGAGCTGTTCATTAAAATTGATGATTTCCATTTATTTATTTGGCTGAGTCGAAATGATCGAACTCAGTTAACATATGAACTGTTAGAATGGATACCTCAGTGATGTCCTCAATTGGAATTTCACACTGTGATAAGTGGTGACCAACAGTGGAATTCAGGACGGCAGTTGCGTTCTACCTGGAACTAGACGGGCAACTGAGTGACGGTCTAAAATTTTTAATGATCTGTGCTGAGTCTGAATTTTACTGAGTACACTATTACATATTAGAATGCAAATGCGACCCAATGATGAATCTCAACCAGGGTGAAACATGCACCAGGACTTCCTTCACTGCTAACCATTACCTATTTAATGTCACTATATTGAGATACGTGAGACACAAAACATTTCCGAATCAAATTTGTCTTCTTTAAATTACTCGGTTTGTGGTGAAAATCTAACAATTTCCTCTCGGAATCCAAAATATCCACATCTGGCTAATAATTTAGATGCCAGTCAAGAGAGCGTAATTTGTAAGTCATGGATTCGATGCTACGCGTTACGAGGTCGCCTAAATTTGGATGGTTTGAAATGATTTGGTGACTTGAGCTAAGTCAAACCGAGTACACGGATGATGAGCTCGGTTCTACAAGACATAAACATCCATCAGCAGTATGTCCCAATTCGCTAAGATATTCTCGAGATGTTATTTTAACTATCGTAGAAGCTGCAGTGTCATCAAACATATGACAATGCTGAGAGGGCTATAATTTCATTGTTGGTAAACCGTAGCTACTTTAGGTTTGGTTCACCTGATTCTTATGAAGAACTATCAAAGCAATTTTAAAAAAGGACATTAGAATTGAACATACACTATCTTCGTCCTTTTAGCTACACTATACTACTTGAGCACACACTTTATAGCCTATCCTTTATTATTTGGCGCACTTCTAATTCACTTACTCCCCTTACTATTTATGTCACACTTCATTGCAAAATATAACAAGACCACGTGATAACTTCATATACCACTTTCTTCTAATGTAAACATTTTATATTGCACAAAATACTGCGTCAGTTAACAATCCAGAATACAATGTAAATCTGTGTGACTTAAACATTATTTCAATGGTAAAGATTCTCAGACAAATTAATGAAAACAAAACACAAGAAACGAATCGATAACTCACACTGATTAATTATCAAATTACATTCATTGAACTGAGAACGCTTGAACACAGACAAGGCATACAAAAATCCGGCTATTTTGTTTGAGTGGAATAGGTGTACATAAAAAAATAAGTGCATGAGGACAAATTATACAAAAACAAAGCGACAAAATACGATTAATTGATGTCCAAGACCAACAAGGGTGCACCCTAACAAATTAAATATTACAAGATTGATATATATATATATGTATATGCAGCTCATGTTCATGAGTACAGCATTGCGACATTAATTCAGGGTAGTACATTCATAATCAATTATCCGAATCCAGTCATTTCTAACTAATCAACGGACAAACCTGGCATTTCGTCTACTTGTAACATAATTTTCATAATCTATCTCTAACATCTTATACAACTTACTTCGTAACTGTTAGGCATAAGCTGATATTAATCAGCCTGATTTTTCATACATCTCCCTATTACGTGCTTCAGTGTTGTTAAGTAGGAAACTGATAAGACGCAAGTAACTATTTGAACCACATGAGAAATATCAGTTCTTTATCATGATTAATTCAGTGAATAGAATATTAAAGAAGAAAGTGAGCTCGAAGGAACAGAGAAATTAGATAAATAAGTTTTACTCCCAATTGGAGAATTTTAAGACCTACACTAAATCTAAAAATAAATTCTATCAAAATACTCCAATAAAGCCATTAAATAAAAGAAAGGAAATGCTTAATATAACGGAAATCCCCATTCAGACATTTAGTGCAAGACAAAAGAAAGTTTGATCAAAGAATATTCTTCTCGATGATATATATAGTGTTCAAGAATAACCGTTATTAACAATATTGTTGTTTTCAAATAATATCAAGTTGTTAAGATTAATAGAATTACAGTTCAAGAAAGATTTTTTTTGATTACAGCTTGATTCCACACCGTATATTTTTGGTACAGGTATGAAATTTTCAGTATGGATATCGGTAGCCCAAATTTAGCAGGCCGACCATAGATATCGGGCGTGCGTCGGCAGGGGATCGAACCCCGGACCATATGCATGATCGGCGAGAGTCCTAACCACTGTGCTGCCAACGCACATGAGTAAGCGATAATAAAAATATAAGTGTGACGCTGAATTGAATATCAGGTAAAATTAAGAAAAGGTATGCAACAATTAAAGATAGTTAAAACACTGATGGCCAAGGTAGGGAAAGCGCCTGAACGAACTTCTTTTGAACACATGAGCCAGTCTTCTAAAGGTGGGCTCCGACAACTTCAGTCATATGTAATAGACAAACTCGTGAGGTGAAATTACGATTAGTAGGAATACGGTAGACAACTTTCAGACTTTCCAAGACTCGATTTTGTGCTCAGCATCCCACAAAACGAGTCTGTTTGTGTATCTATCACTTTGACTGCTCCTGTGGCGTCAGTTGCACCAAGCGTACAATCAGACATGTTTATCATGGGATTTTCGAACATCCTGCGTGTTTAAACAACGGATAGACAAGGTCTTTTCGCACTTGTATTCTAGCACATCTTGTGGACACTGAATGAACACAAAATAGAGTATTTGAAAGTTTCTGAAAGTTATCTACTGTATTCGTACTGATCTTAATTTTACCTTATGAGTTCGTCTATTACATATGGCTGAGGCCGTCGGAACCCACCTTTAGAAGACCGCCCACACCGTGGAAGTTGATTTTCTGCTGCGGTAGTTGAAACGGAAAGCGAATTAGTTTTCCGTGACCACAGCGCCCAAGGGACAAATGCCTTAGGCTAGCACCACCCACGGCCTGCTTGAATCGGTTTATAGAGTTGTTCCAGTATTAAGAACTTACCTCCATCTACGGACCACCGTGTGGGGTAAGTTGTGGTGTACAACCTTTGGAGTCGACTCTTTCTAATCCCCTTTTCCAGATTGGAGAGGCGGCATAAATGGGATACCGGTCATCTGAGGGAAACACTTTACTGCTGTTACATTCCTGTTCCCCAGCAGTACGACTTTGTCTACGGAAACCAGCATAGTGTTAAACATTTAACACTACGAAGGTAACAGCTTTTAGTCTAATCGCTATCTGAACAACATTCCCGCAGGGGTAGGACCTGCAGGAACATTAGTTCTGGTAAATGTAGCTTTTTCGACTATTGCAGTATCCAAGTCCAACCACTACGTCAAGGTAGCAGCTATCGACCAAGTCTGTAACACATGTTCAGACTCCGATCACAACCTGGACTGTGTACGTTTATGCTTACTATTGAATGAACATAAAAAACAAACGGTGATGAAGCTATTAAGCAACCGATTTGATCGAGACTCTGAATTCCTAATCACGGAAGAAATAGCCAAACACGTATCTGAGATGGACACCAGGACTCCTCCTGTGGAAGCCTGGCACAATATACAATTAGCTGTAGATTCAACCATATAGGCTGTTGATAACCCAAAACCAAAGAGTTAGTAAACGCCAGTGGATTTCTACTACCTCATCCAAACTGATGAAAGCAAAAAGACTGATTATAGCCGTCTCTGAATATGATGAGGAGCGAAAGCTGCTCAAACGCAAACTAACAAGAAGTCTTCGCAACGACTGTGAACAGTAGTGGGCGAAAAAAAGCGGAAGAGATGGGAAATTCATAGGTGATAGGTAACACCAAACAACTATTTAGGTCTATTAGGAAAACAGGTAGCAGTAGGCAAACGGATGTATCCATGATATATTCACCCTTCGACCGATTCTGCAGCAAACGCATGCTTACTGGCATCTAGCAATTGCCTTATATCTTGACCTGAAGACGGCACTCGATTCCGTCGACTGATAGGTACTGTGGTAGTGTTTGGCTGTGAAGAGAATGCCGAGAAAATACATCGCACTGCTCAAGGCACTCTACTTGAACTCATGCAGTCAGCAAGGTGAGAACCTACAGAGAGTTGTCATCTGAAGTGACAACAACCAGTGGGATCCGTCAGGTATGCCCCCATTTCTGTTTAACTTCTTCATAGGTGTACTAGTGGCCTTAACCCTAACTGACTTCAGCGACTCAGGGATTGACTTGTTACCAAGGAATAATCTCGTTGACTTAGAATATGCAGATGATATTGTCCTCCTAAGTGAAGACACAGACAAAATTCAGAGTCTTCTGAACACCTTGAGTAGCAATCTTCGAATGTTTGGCATGCGATTTCCTCCTGTCCAATGTGAGGTGATGCTACAGGAGTGAACTACATTGACTCCTAGCTTAGAAATAGGAAGTGAAGTGGTAAAGCGCGTTGACCGCTTCACTTGTTTTGGAAGATGCATAAATCCCAATCGACTGATTGCTGTCGAAATCCCGGCACTGATACAAAAGGCTCGTGTGCCAATCATCTTTGCCGAATACGTGACATCCGGCTATCGGTCGAAGGACGTATGTACTGCGCTGCAGTTCGCTCTGTCCTTCTTTATGTCTATACAACATGACCATTGAAACAGGAAGACCTGAAGATGTCAACTGTCTGTGATCATAAGTGTCTACGTTCTATCCCCCGTGTTAAGTGGTATAATGGGCGATTAATATTGAGGCTAGGCGTGAAGTTTTAGGTAGAGAGGGGAAGTCGACCGATGAGGTTGTGAAGCTACATCGATTGAAGTGGTTATGACAAGTGGTGCGCATGCCTAGCCATCGCTTTCCTCCACGGGAAATGTTAACTGACATAGGATTAGATTGGAAAAAAGCTAGTTGTGGTCTAACCAAAACATGGCATCAGTCCGTCAAATCTCCAACAGTTAATTGGTGCCACGTAGAGTGGTGTAGACTGACTGAATGTGGTCCTCGGGAATCTAAGAACCAATGGCTGGAAGCAACCTGTGAAATGGTTGAAAGTCGTTGTCAGTGGCGCAGATGCAGTCACTCTCTGTGATCTGCCATATCCCATAAAACCTTATTGTTTATCCATGTTACTATTCTTTCCGCCACACATTTCTGCATTGCATCATTCTGTTGAATCTCTTTCCTCTCACTTTTGTCTTCCTTTGTGTATTACATGGAGTGTGGCAACTCAAACTGCTGCACTCCTGTGCACAGTCCTATCTTGAATGCGGTCAGGCAGTGTGTCAAACGTGTTGCAGAAACATAGTAATTCTTCTACCGGCCCTCCGCAGAGTTAAACTACCGCTATTAGGTCTTTTTGAGTTAATGGTTGATTCTAAAACCGCAGTCATCGGTTTAGGCAATAGGATATATGCGATGCCGATCACGGAAATATGTATTCATTATCAGTAAAAGCAAAAAATATGAAATATAGAAAAGAGTGAAGCAGAGTGGAAAAGTTGTAGGAGTACCTTGATATGGCTATGTGCAATAAGTTGTAGTCAGTGTCATTAGAAAATAAAAGTGGTATTATTGCTTGTGGTATCAAATAAAACTACTTTACTATGGAATTTAACTCTGTCACAGTTATCAATTATTTATGATTTTATTCCTTTGAGTTCCTAGTGGAATATAGGTCTTCAGGCTTGAACACTGAAGTTCTAGTAGCAGCAGTGTTCTTTACGGGGTGCGGTTGCTGTCCTCACGCCCAACCTTCTGTCTTTGTCGGGCTGACAATCGGCTAGGGGAGGTGGTGTGCGCCGGCCGAGGGTCGAGCCCCAGCATACGTGCATGATTGGCGACGGCTATATCGCGGAGCTATCTACCCACGAAGCCTAGGTACTGTGACTGAGTGACAGTGCCTAGGTCTTATGCCATCGGAGACACCAACCCACAATAAGTAACTAGCAAACGTCGCTTTCAAATCCGCTTTATGTAGTCACTAACCCACAAAGTAGTTGGCCACACCTGGTCAGCTAAATGACTTATTTTCCAGAACCATAAGTTGTCTTTTCTAAGTTACTTAGCAACAAGTTTTGCAGATGATCAATGAGTTTTATAAAGCCAAAGTAATCGACTTGATAAATCCAACCACACTGATTCTATTTCGTCTATAAAAAATAGAGGTGAAATCCTATTTTTGCCTTTGAACTAATGCAATTAGGAAAAATATAGCATATGTATTCAAGTATTGGTTTGTGGGGATTTGATTGATTGGTTACAGGATTTCATCATGAGCTGACATTGGTTAGAGAACCATTGGAAAACCATCTGGTAATAATGGACAGCTGTTTCGTCAGACTAGTTGGGGACTCTTCATCAGTACTCACCCGACGGGGCTTGAACTCAGGAACTTCTGGTTACAAGGCAAGCTCGTAAACTATTAAGCCACTGGGACCCAATCCAATGGCCCATGAATTCTAAATTTCTGCCAACTCACGACATAGCGAGACTGGGTTCAAACCCCGGTGGGTGCGTATTGGTGAAGAGTCCCCAACTAGCCTGACGAAACAGCTATCCAGTACTCCCAGCTGGTTTTCCAATAGTTCTCTAACCAATGTCAGCTCATGATGAAATCCCATATAGGATATGTCTTCCTCTGCCGTGACCCAAGACAACTACACCCTTATCTTACGAACGTATAGTACTTTTTCTGCTTTAAACTAGTTTTTGTCTGATGTAGATTTTTTAGTCCCATCTCGAAAATAGTGTTACTACTCTGTTGGCTTTTACTGCTGGATGCGACTACACAGGAAAAGTTAATAGTCTCTAATACATGTTTATCACAGTAAAGTTGACGAAGTGAATGCTTTAGAAGGAATTATCTTCACTATGAAAACTGTCCATTGACTTATGTATAACTACACTGAGAATAATTTGCTATATCGTCAAAAATGACAAAATTGTGCTTATCTTTAAAGCCTAAATGAATTTTTTTAAACATATAACAAAACACAATAAAATTACTTACCATGGAGATCAATTATGTTCCGCTCTATCCAGTTATTCAATCCAATAATACCATCATAATTAAGTTTATTAATCTCGCTTTGTATACAATCCCATAAATCAGTGTGTTCATCAGTTCGATCTCCTGAAGTAGTGACATCATACTCGTTATTATCAGTTGGTGATGCAAAATTTGGAATAAAATAAACATACAATTTATACAATAAATGACCTAAACATAATGTGATATTTGAAGTTTTGCTTAAATTCATTGACTCTTGTATTGCCTTCAGCGATTCTCCAAAACGTTCCAATCGTTTAACGTATACAGATGAAGGGTTAATGTATTGTGGACCTGATTGCGTGAATAATTTAGCGAACTTCGATTCGATGAACAAACTCTGATCAATTAATTCAGGAAATCCATAGACTGAAACAGAAAACAGTAAAGCACCTAAGATTTTCAGACACATAGTTAGCGATGATTTGAATTTGTAACTCGAACGATAACAATAGGGTAAAGGGTAGTTATATTCCAAAACAATGCTAAAATCAATAAAGTCACCAGTGAATTATATTCTAGGTGAAGGACTCAAAGGAGTGCCCTTCCTGCAACAACCATATGCCATGAAACAGAAGTACTCTGACACGAACTATATGGAGTGTTTAAAAATAGTAGATTCACATTCTTAGCTATTTGAAGTTCACGGATTGATGTCATTTTTTGATCTGACCACACTTATCTCTTTACTAACCTAATTATACCTAATCTAACATCACTTGTCCGGGAAGGCGAAGACTCGGCATGCATAACATATTACCTAACCTACTTAATTAAGATGGTTCCATTACATCGCAAACTGATTCTGCATCCTTACCTAAAACTCTACGCCAAACTTCACCTTTACTTATTATGCTGCTGAACGAAGATACTGATGGTCGAAAACTCCTAGGCTTTTTACATCTTCTAATTGCAGTGGTCAACTTAAACAAAGAGAACTGATTCACGGTAAACACGTTCTCTGATGGATAGGCCGATATCTTTGTTGCGCCAAAGATGATACAAGTTGGAAAATCCCAAACGAATTCTCCGTATCTGCTGAAATTTCATCAGCAACCAGTCTATTACAGCTGACGCAATTTTAAAAATAAGTAACCAACATATTCAGCCATTTCACCCTTCAGTATCACAACAAGAGTCGTTGAAGACTAGTCCCATAGCACTAGTATACACCGTAAACTGGTGTAATCTGCGACTTCAACCATTCTCATGGAACCACCTAATATTCGCATTCAGTAGTTAACATGGTTAACCACCATTATCCTTAAACACCTCCGAATTTACGGCATCAGGTCCTATTACTTTGTCTCGTCCTAGATATTAGAAGCAGCTGCCGCAACCATCAGTTACAGATGTGTACATCCTATTCAGCCTAAGGATAGTGAGCGACAGAAGTGTTGCTTTAGGCCAAATGAACTTCTTCTCAAAGTATTCTCCCGAACCATCTTATCATCAAAGTTTTATTCTTTTCAGAAGTTGTTTCACTTACCATAGCTTCATGACTTGTTTCATTATGAATAGCTAACAGGGATTACTTACTGCTGAGGCTTTCTATCCACTTATTTGGGGATGTTGCAAAAATCTCTAGTTACTATTCGGTTTGTGCAGCTTTCACTCCTCATCGCTCACCGAGTTCAGTCGCAATTCACTGATCACTTCGTACGAAGCTACAATAATTCATTGGGATTTACCATGTCTTGGTTACAATTCATCAATAGTTTTTGCTACTGTTTCCATAGTGGACTGGACATAGTACCAAGCCACAAGCATTGTAGTCACTCTCATATGTGACTAGTCATCTCTCTAAACACACACTTCATATTTCCACCAAAAATCTGGAAATATTACAGCTTCACAGATACTTTTTCTACGTCTTTGCAATCGCAGACAATTATGTGAATGGACTCATTCATTGTTGGAGTCCACAAATGTCATCCAGAAGTAGTGGTGATTTTTCACTAATCCTCTGCATCCACAATTTACCGCGAAGTCCTGTATTTGTGTTCATTATTGAACTCAAGTCTGTGGTGAGACACTGAGACAATGTTCTTGAAGTTCGTGCTGGTCAAATAAAATTCTAGCAGACAACTAAGAACACATAAGTCAGCAAAGAGATCTCTTTTGGTGATCCCTCTACAAAGCTGTACAGTTATTTAAGGGTTTATACATGTTAATTTCAGATTTTCAATTGGTTATTTTCCGGTACATTCAAGTTTAGCGGAGCACTGGTCTTCCTTTGTAAATGCTTATTGATGAAGAAGGTTAAGTTGGGAGGTTACTACATTCCGTATGGTATAAAGCAATCAATGACAAGTGGACCAAGTAAGGAGTTCACTCCTACTGCACTTTTCTGTTTGTATATTGACTGTTGAATAAAAACTGCAGATATAATGAGCACCATAGTATTACCCCTTTCATATAGTTAGTAGGTATATAAACAATAAAATTATTTGAGTCGATAAACTGGCATAAGTAGTCCACACTTTCCACTAAGGGCGCATTGGTGAGCATACATTCTGAATCATTTGAGGCCATAATTGATCCACATACGTTCATTCACCTTGCCGAATCCACGTACTCAAACGTATCTGTCAAAAAATGCTTTACTATTAACTTCCTCACAGGTCCTAAAATTTCCGCCATCTTGCCACGGGATGATTGGACGATCTAGAAATATCTAGGATAAGACGCATGGGTAAGCCCTCTTTGTGGATTTTGGGCAAACCATATAGGTATCAAACTGTTGAACTGGAAGGTTGGATAATTCTACAGGTCTGTGAGTTGATTTCTCAATCTTTTACCAACTTAAGATGACTTTTGTTAGCTGCTTATCGCCTTGTTTAGTGTTGTCTTTCTCTTCAATCTGGCTTAAGAATTTTCTGTCATCGTTAAGAATTTCGAAAACTACACTTGGGTCTTGTATGTGTTTCAGGGACAAAGAATGTATCCCAATCCCAAGATGCCAGTTTTTTTAGTGAGGCCTGACGAACGATTTGGTATAAGGTATGGGCTTTGAAAGCTGCGATGTAAGGATAGCAGGGAATAAAAACGTAACCCTGGCTTAGCCGCTAGGAAAGCTCAGAGAGTTAGCAGAATGTGAAGAACTTAACTCAGTAGCGAAAACGACGGCAACGTTGAGGTTAATACTTCCAGACTGCCTATACTGAGGAAACTGATTTCTTCCGAAAGTGCAAATTAATTAGTGTTGGTTGAGTGCGAGATCCATAATGAGGACGGGCGCACCTGATGTTTAGAAATGGTGTTTGCGAAGTACTTTTGTACAGATTATGGAACACCATGGGGTAAAGCGCGATGTACAGCTTTTCTAATCCGTCTTTTTCGGAGCAAGAAAGCAGCAATAGTAGAGTAGGCATTATAGTGATTTTTTAGCCTAATGGCTATTCAATTGACCTTCTTGAAATGATAAAACCTGGTGAAATATTCGTTTTAGTCATCATAGCTGGTAGGGTCAAACCACTAAGTCTAGGGCACCAACGCACAATTACTTGTTATCTCGTTACTAAGCACAACACTGCGTTTCCTGGGATTACGTAACTGAGATGGAATCTACTACTTTCCTTCGACATTTCGAATTGTTAACACACTTCACATCCTAGCAAGCTAGTCCTATTCAGTTCCTGATATTACATTTGATATATTCGCTCTTATTAGTCCCAACACCATTATGAAATCGTTAATTGCTTGGTGATATATACTCCTCTTAAAATTATATAAAGCTATTTTTTACAGGATAATGAAGTCGCCTTCCATTAATGGGATCATGGTTAGGCATGCGCAGTACGTTACCTAGCCATCTCAGTCTATGTAACTTTATAGCCTCTTCGATTGATTTTCCCTCTTCGCCCAACACTCTACGCCTAACGTCTTCAACTCGTATTGGCCATGTTGTCTTACGATGAGCTACAGCAATCTGCCACCGTTATCAAAGGGAAACTCAAATCACCTACTTTCGAATACACAAATTACTGCTGCACTACTCCCGTATTGCTTTTGGATATTTTAAGATGACTATCCACCCAACCAATGAAAGTGATTCCTGCAGTAGTCCACACTAGCAATATCTTTTATAAACAATTCCGCCTGACTTCAGTATGCTCCGATCAAAATATAAAAGAAAATTACAAAATGCATACTCTGCAATAAACTTACACATGAAAAATTCTATTTGTAGACGGAAAAAAGCCTCAAGGGCGTAAACATTGCCGGGCTCGCTTTCCAGAACCAGTTCACATAAATCATCAAACTTATCGTATCCAGCAGGTAACTACAATGATGAAAAAAAAATAGAGAACTTCATTTTGAAGCCGAAAAACAAAGTGACAGTTGAATTTTCATAGAAGCACTTAAGAAGAATGAAATATGCTAACTGAATTGCAGTATTTTTTGCCAACACTGATGACTCACTATTACTGCTGCCTACAATGGAAATCGCATTAGCTATGGTGGATAGTGGCTAACCAAAATTTTTGGGTAGTTAAAGATCTTACAACTACCACTAAACTGCACCATTTATACCACGGATTACATCTGGGTGTGTACTACAAGTCGATTGTTCTGCGCAACGGAATTTCTCAGTGTGAAGAGAATGCCGAGAAAATACATCGCACTGCTCAAGGCACTCTACTTGAACTCATGCAGTCAGCAAGGTGAGAACCTACAGAGAGTTGTCATCTGAAGTGACAACAACCAGTGGGATCCGTCAGGTATGCCCCCATTTCTGTTTAACTTCTTCATAGGTGTACTAGTGGCCTTAACCCTAACTGACTTCAGCGACTCAGGGATTGACTTGTTACCAAGGAATAATCTCGTTGACTTAGAATATGCAGATGATATTGTCCTCCTAAGTGAAGACACAGACAAAATTCAGAGTCTTCTGAACACCTTGAGTAGCAATCTTCGAATGTTTGGCATGCGATTTCCTCCTGTCCAATGTGAGGTGATGCTACAGGAGTGAACTACATTGACTCCTAGCTTAGAAATAGGAAGTGAAGTGGTAAAGCGCGTTGACCGCTTCACTTGTTTTGGAAGATGAATAAATCCCAACGGGTTGATCGCTAACGAAATCTTAGTACGGATATAGAAGGCTCGTTTCGCATATGCCAGTTTACGACATCTCTGGGTAGATGCGATATCCGGCTATCGACCGAGAGGCGTGTGTAATGCGCTGCAGTTCGCTCCGTCCTCCTATATGACTGAGACATGACCATTGAAAGTAGAAGATATCAAAAGACTAGCTGTCTTTGATCATAAGTGCCTGCGTTCTATCTCCCGTGTGAAGTGGTGTAATAGAGTGAGCAATATTAAGGTTAGGCGTCGAGTGCTAGGTAAGTAGAAGAAATCAATCGACGAGGCTGTGCAGCTACATCGACTGAGATGGTTAGGACATGTGTTAAGCATGCCTAGCCATCGCCTTCCTCCACGGGAAATGTTAACTGACATAGGATTAGATTGGAAAAGAGCTAGTGGTGGTCAAACCAAAACATGGCTTCATCAGTCAATGAAATCCACAACACTTAGTTTAAGTCATGTAGGGAGGTGTAGACTTTCTGGTTGGGGTCTTCAGGATGGTAGAAACCAATGACTAGAGACAATTGGCGATATGGCTCAAAATCGTACTCAATAGTGCAGATGCTTTCACTCTTTGTGATTTTCAATATCCAATAAAATTCTATTGTTCTTTGATATTACTATTCTTTTTGCCTCATATTTCTGTTTATTATCTCTCTTTTGAGTCTTTCTTTAGTCTTTTCTCTTGCTTTGTGTGCTACATGGAGTGTGGCAACTCGAACTGTTGCACATCTGTGCAAAGTTCTACGTTTAAGCTAGTCAGTCACTTCCGCGCAGCAATGGGCTGTTTCCTACTGAATGGCTGTAGAGCATAATCACGAAAATGGATCCGAGGACGACACAAATATCTGAATATTGTTAGCAGTGTTTGATAAAATTATCTTGTCAGAAACGTAGGAGCTATATGAAGAGATCTAGATAAAATACATATAACGGTCAATGAAGTCACGTACCCATCTCTTGAAGTGACTAGGCCATATATTAAGCATGCGTACCTACAATTTACCTCAATGTGCTAGGCTATCAAAAGTGTAGTTACACCGGAATAAGCCTAAGGATGACCTCATCAAAGTTTTATACTAATCTACTGAGTCTGCCTTGGTTCGGTAAGGGGATGTAGGTAGCATCGTCGGTGTCCACATGCTTACATGGACTTATGGTTAGAGACGGTAGGTGATAGGGCTCATAACAGTGCGGCAGATGCTTTCATACTTTCTGTTTGCCTTAAGCGCGAAATCACAATTTAATTGCTTCAGCTTCCATTTCTTCATTTCACAACACTAAACTGCTTATTACATTTTCACTTCTTTGCCTTCCTCTAAGCTCTAATTCATGTAATATTGATATAAGGATAAAACTTGGGCATTGTGGTAGAGTATAACTCCGTTATGGATAAAATTTTGTTCTGATAAAATCGCAGTGTTTTACAGTAATATTTACTGATGACGTTTCGAGCACAAATTATCGCTCACAATCATCAAGGAACTCACACAACTTTTTGCTTCATCTATATACCCAATCTTATGGTTGGGTGTTAATGTATGCAGTGCAATGCTGAGTTTTTCCTAAATTACTTATATTCGTGGGATCAATCATTCTAACCTTGGCTAAATTCTTATGTTCTGATAGTTTCACTACTCCTGATCTACTAGTTTGACCTATGTAGTTGACCACACAGTCATCGCAAGATATTTTGTAAACTATACAATTTAGTTTAATTGGGTCTTATTCATGTACAGCTATGGCCAGTATGCAATCATGCTAGGTCCTATACTGATAATGTCAACCTTTCTTTTTGAGTGATTTTGATAACATTTGTTTGTATGACTGACTGAGGTACCTGATGGACAAATAGAGATGACTCATTAATACCATGTGACTACAAGGATGTAGAAATGGTGACTATCTTCGCTTGATTAAACTATTTCTTCAGCCATCTCCGTGCCAGTGAATCACCCTTAGAAAACTTGAGTGTGGTAATCTTAGTTTATGGAATCTAAATACTAAATGATAGTCAACATATTAGGTTTGTTCTCAGTTGATGGTTATCTACTGTAATACACAATTTTTCGGGAAAATATGGTGTGGACCAATGCAGACAGAATGTTTTCTCACAGCTTAACAAAGAGATTTAAGTTCAATAGAAATCATAATTCATATAACCGAAGATATATAATGGGGTAGGGAATGCTCATATACTGCCCATATTAAAAGAATTATCATGGAAAGCACAAAGTAAGCTTAAATTCTCAAATATCTGATATTTCCAGAATACAAGCATTAAACCTAGAAAACTTCTGTAGTACACTTAAGACTTGAAAGTGACAAACAAAATAAACAGGACTTATGGAAAGGTGAAACTCAATATCGTGAGGAACTTTTTCAGTGATCAACGACACTATGACCATATAACCGTAATGCAGTGGAAAACAAACTAAAGTATAAATTCAAACAGTGTATTCAGTGCTTACTGGTAGCCGAAACCGAACCGCAGTTTCAATAAACGTTTTAGAATAATCCAAATATCTTTCAGGTGAATCTGACCTAAAACAAACAGAAAATGTCACGCAGTTGTTTATAGGAGACTCGAAGTGTGTTCAGAAATGTCTTAATTATAAATTTAACAACTATTCGAAAAGACACAGAAACTTACCTAGATGATTTGTTAATGAGCACTGAACATGCTTTTAATAGAATATTAGCATTTTTATCAGGACTTCTCTTGATTTCATTGTAAAGACCCTGACGACAAAAAAATTTCTTTAAGGTACAAATAGCTACTCAGAAAATTAGGCAAATAATAGGTTTATCAGCACTAAATCATTTTACTAACACATACGACGTTAAAATAATATTCATATCACAATCGAGGTAGTGTCCTGAGGAAAATGAAACCAAAAATGAATTACAGTAAATGTTTAAGGAATTAACGCTGGTTAATGCAATGTAACGTCATAACTTCATTTTTTAGGTGAACAACAACAATGAAATACAAATGAATGTTTCGAAAAATTTCTAAGTATAAAGCCAATACGTTTACTTTGGCTATCTCCTACGGGAGGATGAGCCGGCTTCATGAACATCTCGAGTAAGAGAGTTCATGAAGTTTCATGGGAATTTGGTACGAGTGATGTCCCCAGAATCACTCGGCCTTTTGTTTGAGAGTGCAGCTCTAGCCTTTACACAACCAAGTGTGACGTACAAGGCAGTAGGAGTGGAGTAGGGAGTCCACTATCCATTGGCAGCCGGTGACCGGAGTTCGGTTCATACGCCTTTTTGAATGGGGCCAGACATCCAGGACATCCAACAAGCCCTTTGTCCATGCGTCTGCAGGTAAACTCCAGTGAGCTTCATACGCCAGTCGTTGGAGGTTTGGAATCAGGGTTTAGCCATCTCCCCTAGACTGTCATCCAATGGACAGTCAACCCGGTGAAGAGCGCCGGGCATCCGCTTTCGCCCTCTCACTTTGGTGAAAAACACTTCCGCCACGTGAAGGCAGTGAGTAGGACTTCCTCAGGAGAGGCTATGTAAGACGCCCGGTCATATGGGAGCATTTCAAGAGGTGTGCGGAGAGGTGGCCAACCCGCAGCGCAAGGCACCCACCCCCGACCATCCTGAGGCTTTGGAGGCAATACGTTTACTTACATATCACTATGCAAAATCTAAATAACCACGTGGAAAATAATCAATGAAAAATACTGGTAAAATAAGTACTTACTTTGCGACAGTCGCATATCTTAGCATTACCTTAAATTTACAGACATGCAGCATAACATATCCAATATATTTATCTGTTTGACAGTTTTCCGTGTTTATCTAGTTAAATAATACTTTATTTCAAATTATAGACAAGATATCTGGGCTAATAAAAAATGAAAGGTTATGCCTATAAATATATCGATAAGAGAAGACTTCTGAATTCCTGAAAAATAACTTGAGAGTCACTTCTGCACCAAGTGCCTGCAATTCACAAAATATCCAATGACATGCATTTGCACACACTAAATGATGTGATTCCTGTATTCACTACGTAAAACCTCCACACCACTAAGACAGAAGATGAAGAAAACCAAGATACATTGCGTATTCTACAGCTGGTACTACTTGAAGAAATATTACACCTAATTTAAGCATTGGTTTGCAGGGTCCTGGGTTTGAACCCTGGTGCTGTGCATGCTGTTCAATTTGCATACGTGGTTAAGTATTTTAGACTTTAAACTAGGCAAGATCAAGCATAAGAATTTCCACATTAACATATGACACGACTACAAAACCGTCTCAAGATTCAGTACCTGCAATTAGTGTTAAACCCCAAAGCCTTGAGTGTTTGAGGATTCCAGAAAAAAAATTGAGAGTAATTTTAGGACAGCTTAGAGTGAAAATTTAGGACAAATGCATGCAGATATAGCCATTTCCAGCAAATGCCAAGATAAATCCAACATTTTCCGAGATTCCTAGAAGTCTCCCTACCCCATACGAAAAAATACATCACTTCGCCTCCCTTCCAAAACAAACCTCCACCCATGTGGAGATTTTGGGGCCACTCGACGTTTTCCCTCAAAAAGACCACAGCGACTGTTCAAGTTCTCCAAAAAAATACCTCCAAATCTCCCCAACAAACTCCTGAATTCCTTTTAAAATTTCCACACTTTCAGACGTTGCCCCAAAATTGTGTGATAGCACTGATAATGGAAACTCACAAACCAAGCTTGACTATTCTCTGGATCAATCTCCAAGGCTGAAAGGTAGGATTCTATCGCTTCTTCATGATATTCCAATCGAGAGCAAGAAGCTCCTTTTAATATTAATACCCCGTAATCAGGTGAATTTCGCAAAATTTCCTGCATATAGGATATAATGTATGTCAACAATTTTCACCTTAGCGATTTCATAGCACTCTTGATACTTTTCATTCTTATAGAGCTCCTTGGCCTGCTTAAATAGTTGACTCATGCGGAGAGACTCTAAGATGCGCCACAACCCACGTAACGAATGATTGTTTACAAACGCTGCTAATGTATGGGCGTTATTTCGTGTGCCCGCGAATCCAATTTCCAATATCCTGATTGCGAGCTAGTATAAACCAGTGATTTCTTTGAGCTCGCTTCTTGATTGCAAGATAGAGGTTCCAGATCTTCGGTGAACTTATGCGTAGTAAATCCCGCCACTCGACTGCTTTAGCTCTGGTAGACTCCAAGCGGAGTGGTGCGGGGATTGGTCAAGATGTGGTTTGTAGTGTGCAGTATGTTAGGACTGAGTTGCTGCCGTGAGTGGAGTTTGACCTAACTCCCGTTGGTCATTCGGTGTAGCCATAAAAGCAGAATAGTAATAATGATAATATGATGTAGTGTCGATAATATAGGTTGAGATAAGTGAAATAATAAAGGTGAAATAATAAAGGTGACCTAAGGAAAAGATAGAGTAGTCGGTACAGTAAGAGAAGACAGAACGGGTCGTGGGGATTTAGCTTGTATGCTTATCCACTGACAGTGTGGTTTCAAATCTTAAGAGGACGAGCCATTGGGACACAAACCTTACATTTCTGCATGATTGTCCAGCTTAAAAGTCTCCACAGATGGCGTTCCAGAGACGGAAAACTCGAGGCGAAAAGAAATGTGAATGCACTCGAATGACATAAACAACTGGTAGTGTTGCTTGTGATTTGTCAGATTCAGATATATTGATTGAGGGTAAAAGGCTTAGAACATATGTTATTCCTTTTCTGATAAATTACTGCGCTTCTCCAAAGCCTTCTTGAATGAGTCAGTTGAGGACGCTGAAACCACTTTTTCTGGGAGCCGGTTCCAGAAGTGTATGACTCGGTGTGAGAGGTGGTAATCCGCAGCAATACGGTTCCTCCTTGACTTTTGAACTCTCCTGCTGTGTCTTCTGAAGTGTTATGACCTGATGGGAAGGGAAAGAGGTGATAGATCAGGTCCGTAGTCATTATTTAAAATTTTAAACATTGTAATGAAGTCTGTACTGTGCTTACGATATGACAGGGAGAAGACATTCACACTGACTGGTCTTTCAACGTATGATAAATTGGTCATGCCGAAAATCATACGTGTTGTCTTCCTTTGAACCCTCTCTAGAATGTGTGAGTCCCTCTTAAGACAAGGATTGGCTGTCTGGGTGCAGTTTTCCAGTCTAGACATATCTCTGGTGATTCCAGTAAACTCTCTGAGTATTGCTGATAAAGATAAAGCACACCGTGCGACAGTGTGCTTTATTATTTAAGTCGTGACACCTAGATCCGTTTAAGTCTGAACTGATGGGTATATTATTCCCTGTAGTTGGTATCAACTGACACTTGTGTGTCCAATTCGCATGGTCGCGCATTTTGCTACATTGGTCGACAGCATGCATTCTTTAGAGCACATGTGACAATTTGTTGAGGTCTCCTTGTAACCAAAGGCTGACATTACAGCCCTTCAGCTCCTTCAAGATATTTTAGTCATCTGCTTAGATGACCAAAGCGAATCTGGTAAGTGCAGGCAACCCGATGATATATAAGATGCGACCTAGTGTGGTGCATTGTCGCACGCCACTACACGCTGTTTTCCGGGAGGGGTGCTTAGGGTTGATCGTGATTGTCTGTATTCTACCTATGTGAAATTCTTTAGTCCAATCCATTAAGCCACCTCTGATTGCACTACTTCTCAATTTCTTCGGGAGTCTTGTGTGAGATGCTTCGTCGAAGGCATTCCTGAAGTCTGTGGAAACGACGCCAACGTCTTCCGTTGTCCCATGACTTGACCTTGCTTTCTCTTGAGGTAAGGTCCCTGAGTCATCGGAGGTTTCCTCGGGACCCTTGCTGTGCTCTAGGCAACAAGTTGTTATTTATCAGATATACCATGATAGCTTTCTTGATTACCCCTTAAAGTACCTTGATTAAGGCTCTGGCGAGACTGATAGGCTATGGCTGAAAGTACAGCGTCTTGATCCTCCTTTGTGGATGGGGGTTACTATGGTGATTTTTCCAGGCATGCGATAACACCCCACTCAGGATACATCGTTTGATGACCGTAATCAGAGAGTGGGGTGTGCCAGCTGATAACTTCTTTAGAAGCTTTAGAGGAAGGTCAGCGGGTCTTATTGACTTCCCTGCATCTAGTTTCCTTAGAGAACGGAATACGGTGCTGGTCCTCTTGGGTCATATCGTTACCGATAGTTAGGTTTGGTACGCTGTTGGATGTCATATTCACATACGAAACGCTTGTCTTAGGTTGGTCAAGTTAAACTCTAGGCATCAATAACTATCAATGGGGAGCGACCGCAGCTATGACTATGAGTAGACCAGTGAGATTCCCCATAAAAGCGAAATGTTTTACTCCACTTGATTGAGGGGGGAATACCTGCTCTAACGGACTGACGTATGAAATTTGGTGTAATCTAAGTGTTCCAGTATTGTTTAGATCTGAAACTGATTGGAAAGGAAAGAATTTGTTGCTGTGGAGCGATTAGGAATATAAATGGCTTCAGTACACTTGTTGATGGGCGCATTCATTGTTGCGAAGTTTGCTTCACACGAATTAGTGTGATGGGAGGAAAGCTGACATTTATGTTATTTCGTAGGAACATCCAAGTATAAACAATATCCCTTGAATGATTTGCCAGGTCTTTTCCTCTACTGGATGATGAATGCCCGGCCAAGTTAAACTTTAAGCACCAGTAACTACCAATCAGCGAACGACGTCGATTTATCCAATGAGATTCACGAACGTAGTTCAATGTGGTATAGCGCTTGATTCATTTCAGTGCGTGCCCTTACATGGTTACGTTTGCAATTCGAGGAGGTTAGTGTCTTTCAGTATTTTCTGGACTTAGGCTTGCTTCTAAAGGAGAGAAGTTGTTTGTGTGGTGGTATAGTGACTCGAAAAAGCTATACTTGGTCAACTGATGGTTCTGTACATCGTTGTGGAATTTGCTGGAAGCGAGTTATTATAAGAGAGGGTAATATTTCGTAGGAAATTGTTTTGCTAGGTCGCATCTCTCCCTAACCCAGATTTTGTACATTTGCAATTACTGGGTACTGAAACAGCCCGTGGGAGCCGCTGCTACCGAGACGGAGAACAGTTGAAAGGCTATGATTCATTGTCATCCCTGGAATACATTCATCACAGAGTGAATCACTCCAGTGATTTCGTGGATCCAGTTACAAGGCCTCATAAAAATTTCACTGAAGGATTTTGGGGTCGATTGAAAAATAGAATAAGGGCTATAAATGGATCTGAAAAGGGTCTCATTTATAGTCATTTAGATGATTATATGCATAGAATGTGGTGCGACTTTTCTATTGACAGTCCGATGCTGAATTGGGAAATGTTTCTGTCCCATGTTCGTGAAAGATACCCGTTGTAATTGTTTTATCCTATTTTTTATTCATTTTTATATGAATATACATTACCACTTATCATAAACGCCTCTTTCATGTGGTTGGTCCGTTCAAGGTCGTTTGCTGATTGGTTGTTACTGGTGCTTAAAGTTTAACTTTGCCGAATGCCCCCTTGTATGTTTCAGTAAACTCCTCCCGCTTCATTTGTCAACCATCGGCGCGCTAATTAAAATTCAAGTTCAAAACAAATGGGTGACGATAAAGGCTATCGGGATCTATTTTAGCACATTGTATGGGTTATCGTGTCCATGCCTGCAAGGGTGTTATAAGAGTCTGTTTTTGTGAGAATGGAAATTTTATGTATATTTTTACGCTTTTGCAGTAAAAAGTAACATTCTCATATTTCGTCCTTACTAATGCGTCAAAGTGTTTTCATATCCTGTATGAAGCATTACGAGGAAAAGAATGAACTAGGAGCAATTATACATGGAAATGCCCTTCATTTTTGTTTGGGAGCCTTTAGGGTCTGATATTTGTGAAATTTGTTTCATTTTCAGGTTGTGATTTGACTCCAGACAACTGTTAGTGCTTTTCTTTGAGAATAATCCCAAAGAAGTGAGTTCAGAGGAGTGAATGAGGTGAATAATTAGCTTATAAGTTCTCTTTCCTCCAGAATGAATGAAATAGCTCATGGAACATCGAAGTAATCACATTAGAGATGAGACAATAGGCTGAATTTCGTGGTGGTTATGTTCATTTTGATGAAGTTCATAGCTAAAATTGCTCATCCGAAGATGTGCTACGAGTGGGATTGCCATTGTCACATGGAATGTTGGAATACCACAACTGCTTACCTCATCAGGTGGCAAAGGCTTATCCTGATATCAGTGTGCATTAGGACAAGAAGTATGCTATGAATGATCCTTCTGAAATGTAACAATGCTTACGATTAGTATTAAGCACATGCAGTTACTGCATTCTATTAACCATGAGGGGACAACTGATGAAAATGAACACGATATAAGGCTTCCCACTAGATCAATAGGAATGCTGAGAATTGTTGGTAAGAAACTTCTTCCAAGGAAGTACTTCGAGCAGATAGAAAGATGTGTCACCCAAACGTCCATAATTACTATCATTTAGATGTGTGAATCACCTTCCAAAGTTCGGAGAGACATCACAATATGAAATCGTCATTTACTTAGTGCCAAATCTGACGAAAAGAACCATGTTTGCAATAGTAAGAAACACAGAAGTATTCCCTCATGGCCATAGAATAAGAAAGAAGGATTAACAGTCATCAGGTGTTTAATTGGATGTACCTGCATTTTCTAGTGAGTGATGATGTTCCCACCGAGTCCCAACTGGGACTAAATGCGCATCCTGGATTCCAATGCTAGTCACCACACACCAATCAAATTCTGATTAAATGCCCAGACATCGTCGAAACACCTGCATAAGAAGCCGACCGAGCACTTCGGTCCAATCAATCGACAGGAAAATCTAAAATTTAATTGAAATAAGGTGTTTAACTTTCATATTACTTCCTTCAAATCTCAGCGGATACAATAATACACTTCATTCATTTACTTTCAGAGGCCTGTTAACCTCAGATCAACCTGGTCACGGCATTTCTAAAGTAGTTGCGTCAAAGAATTCCGCACAGGCCCTAGACTATTATTTTTCATTATATATATATGTACGGTGCGCAGAATTTTCTTCTTTTCCTGAAAAAGCGTTC